GGCACGGCAGAGGGTATATGAGATGGTTGGGTGAAAATGTCCGAGGGTATGGATTTGATCGGCATGACAGTGGCGTGGCGTGCTTTGCGATGTGTCGATCGATACGCCACTCAAACCTATGAAAAAGATCGATTGTTAGGGTGTTCGCAGCGAACACCTTAGTAATCGATTCTTTACCATATCTTTAAATGGCGAGCTATCGATAATCGATCGTTCCCGCCACGCCACTGCGGCATGAATCGATCGACGTGAACCGACGGCAAATTATTAGCAGTGGCGTGGCGTGAATTGCGATATATCGATTGTTATGCCATTAAACCTATGGGAAAGAATCGATTATTAAGGTGTTCGCTGCGAACACCCTATTTATCGATCTTTTTCCATAGGTTTAAATGGCATAACAATTGAAATATCGCAATTCACGCCACGCCACTGATTATTAGAAAACCGGTGTCGACGTGATTCGATCGATTCACGGGGATGTTGATCGATTTATGGATCTGTCGATCGATCCACAGGTTATTGTCGATCGAATCACGTAAATCGGTTCAAGTTCTTATTTTTCGATCGAATCACGTAAATCGGTTCACGTTTTTATTTTTCGATCGATTCCTGTCGGTCGAATCCATACCCTCCGAAAATGATTTAAAAAAAAGTAGAAGAAGAAGCTGCACACAGTTTTTTAGAAGTTTCGAAATTTCCGGAATGATTCAAAATAAAATCACGAAAAATTTTGACGCGATATTTTCGTTCAGAGTACAAGAACACGTACGAAGAACAAATAACGAGACTACCTAAAAAAATGGTCTGCCCTCCACAGTGATCTACCTTATATAAAAACTACTCATTTGCTGGAGGCTATTTCCATTTTAATCTTCCGTCACATTCTTACGGCGCAATGATACAGCTATTTGAACTCTCCGGAATGCGTGAGGTATCACGCTGCATTTGAAGGCGTTTTCAAAACAGCCAAGTTCCGCTATCCGGGTTGTTGTTTTGCAAAGTTCCTATTATTATGTTTTATTTTCTACCATTTGTTTGTTTTCAATCCTCCTATTAAAACTACTCATTTGCTGCATAAACTTCTGGCTGGAGCGCATTTTAGCTGTGCATTCACCACTGCAAAAATGTCAAGGGAAATCGGCAAAGCCAGCGTGTATAAGGCTATTTCGATTGTAATCTTCCGCCGCATTTCTAAGGCGCAATGATACAACTATTTGAACTCTCCGAAATGCGTGAAGTATCACGCCGCATATGATGGCGTTTTCAAAACAGCCAAGTTCCGCTATCCGGATTATTGTTTTGCAAAGTTCCTATTATTATGTTTTATTTTCTACCATGTACCGTATTTTCTACCAGTAAAAATACCCGGGAAATTTCAATAATTCTACCGAGAACTCTTGGTAAAATTACCATTTCCACAGATGTTAATTTTACCAAGAAAAAACTGGGATCAAATGGACTGAGTTAAGCAGAAAGGAACCAACCCACATTTTGGAAAAAATTGAGTTATGAGTGATTTTGAACTCAACCACTGCTCTACTATACCTATCGCCAAAAATTCAAAGATTTTGTTGGAGCAAATTTTGCAGAAATCGAACTTGAAGTTTATCTTTTACATTGAGTCTTATGCAGGAGCCAAACTTTAAACCTCTTTTTCTCGGTTCGATCTCGATGTGGCTTGGTTCCTTTCTGTTTAACTCCGTCCAAATAGAACCCTGAATTCTTGGCAATTTTACCCTTTTCGTAGTAAATACACCGGGATTTTTTTTCAGTGTAAAAATAATTTCAACTTCAGATTAAACGGGACAATTTTTTTCGTTGTGGTTTCAGACGCGGAGGCTGAAACGAAACGTGAGTTGCGCTCCGGGGATCAAGGAATGCTGCCGGGAGGGGCTGTATCTCTCCTTCAAGGACATCGGCTGGAGTAATTGGATCATCTACCCGAACGGGTACCAAGCCTACTTCTGCAAGGGATCTTGCTCGGAAGCCACCTCTCTCACCGTCAGTGGTTCTCACTATACCACCATCGTCCAGGTCAGCAAAACCCACCCCAAACCTTTCTTCTTGAGGGTGGTTTCACGTAGAGTCCCTTTATACTGAGAGTCAAGACAATTTGAATCCATTTCTGATTGGTTCCCGTATTTTAGGCCTCCACAGTGTCACAAACGGGAATAAAGATTACATTTTCACCAATTGCAAAGATTATAATCTGGAATGGACCAGGGAATTACGGGTTCGGCAAGGAACAAACGGAATGAGAGGAGGAACGGAGAAAGGCATTTGAGAATGGGCCGATCAAAGATTACGAAAAACGTTCAATTTCTGTAATCTTTATTCCCGTTTGTGACATCCATGAGCTGAATTGTCTTGACTCTCAGTACAAAGGGACTCTAGTTTCACGATAACTGGAATAGTTTTGTCGCCGTAACAGACAACACATTTTTCGGTCATATTTTTAGTAGAAATGATAATCACTCGAATTTTTTTGCATTATATTCTGCACGTGGTTGCGTATTATAACGCTTTTCAAAGATTTGTCGCTCTAATTTTCAATTTTAGTATAGAAATGGCCGAAAATGTGCTGTTTTGTTACGCTCACTTTTTACCGCGTAACAGACAGCACATTTTCAGCCATTTGTGTATTAAAATTGAAAAGTAGAGCGATAAATCTTTGAAAAGCGTTATAATACGTAACTCTTTGAAGATTAATGCGAAAAAATTCGATTGATCATCATTTCTACTAAAAATATAACCGAATAATGTGTTGTCTGTTACGGCGACAAAACTATTCCAGTTATCGTGAAACCACCCTTAATATGTAATTCTTAAAGTAGTATATTAATTTAATTTCCGCATATTGACTTCAATACTCACTGTGGGGCGGAGATAAGGGCAAGCCTCTTTAGCCCCGCGCAGTGTAGAGAAACCTCGTCTACATTCATTGTCTCAAACGCGCACAAGCCGCTCACCACGAAATCAGATCGCTCTACAGTGTAAGGCGCGATTAGGTGCACGTGCAGGCAGGGTTGCATAAGTGAAGTTTCGAAGGCGATCCCTGGAGCATGTCCGTGTTGCCTGCTGTTCTCAACCTTATTGCTATTTCAAGTTCAGATGAGCTATTTTAGGATCATCGGTATCAGTGGTTTCATCGTAACAGTTTACGAGGGCTTTATCAATCATTTGTTCTTTTTCTTTCGAATCGTCGTCGAGTTCACTTACACTTCGTGTCAGTCTTGCCAGAGACGGATCCAGCAATTTAGAAACGCCGGATTTGCTCCGATTAAACCTGGGTTAAACAATCGATTCTTGTCAGAACAACTGGTCCCTCCAAGAATCGATACATGTCCATAGGTTTAAATGGAGAAAAACAATGTTACCAATTTGCTGGATCCTCCAATGAGCCTAGGCCTGCGCTTTGGAGAACTCGCGGATCCAGCAAATTGACAACACTGTTTTTTTCTCCATTTAAACCTACGGAAATGTATCGATATCTGAAGGGGCCAGGTGCTCCGACAAGAATCGATTGTTTAACATAGGTTTAAATGAAGGAAATCCGACATTTCCTTACTGGATCCGCCTATGGAACTCGAACGTTTAGTTAATTTTGTGAGGTACCTAACTAGGAGCCTGCAAGGTAAAATTTCATGTGTAGAAAGATTAAGAGCTCTGTTAACAAAAGGAGCCAAAGAAAAAAAAAAAACAAAAAAACAAAAAAAAAAACAAGTTCATAGAGATAGAGTTTTCAATTTACAGCGATTTTTGTCCAGTAGGGACCACAAACCGACTCAAGGATTTCGGCGGAAAACTCTCTGACCTAAAGAATAAGTTGCGAGAATTTCAAGTTAATTTTCGTGCCGATACAAAGTGTGAAGTTGTATTACCAGCTACCTATTTGGCAATTTTATTTACTGAAATAGTAGATTCGAATTTTAGAAGGCTCTTTACGCCTTGCTCTTGAGACTACGTTTTTTGAGCTGCTAACTTCCGACCGCCATCCTGGCGTGCTAGGCAAGAACGCCGTAAATCCATCAAGATTTGCCCTCGTTTTTTGGAACTTAACACTTTATAACATAAAAACTGTTTGACCCATGTACCTCAAATTTTCAAGTTAAGTTCTTGATAGTATTTGCGAAGAATTCTGTATGGGTAAATATTTGTCCCAAGGTACACAAGTTTTTCTGTTATGATACGTTGTTTCCGAAAAATAAAAATATAAAATGGCGTTTTTGTGTTGCACGGCAGCATATATAACTCCATTTGGATTTGATATTTTTGGGCGTTTTGAGTCCCGAAATTCTCGGAAAAGCGATTTTTCTGGGCTCTAGTGTGCAAACCCCTATTTGGAAAAACGAAAAAATTTAATGCACACATACCTCATTAAAAACTTTTTTTTTAACTACAGGAGTATGGGTGCATTAAAATTGTATCAATTTTCACTAATTTTAACTCGTTGTTTATACAAATAGTTCCATTTTCCACTATTGTGCTCTATGTTGAGTTTCTGTGAACTAGGGCAATGAAAATAACATCTACAGAAATAAAATACAAATAAATATATTTACTTATTCTGGAACAGTGAGAAACAACTTAGTTTAAACAAGATAACATGGTGTAGATGTAGACAAAGCTGTAATGAGTTCTTCTGAAGTAACAATTAATGATAAAATTACTTGTTGTAAACATAGCACTAAAATACAACTGAGTAAGGAAATTGCTTTGCCCAAAAGTTATGTACTACCTATTTAAAGCTTGACATTTTTGTTTGAAAAGGTTCACAGGGACTACAGGGGGCGCAGAAATAGGTACTTTTAATGCTGAAAACACATTTGCATCATAGATTCTCTGTGTAGTGTGTGGACAGTATTCAAGTGCTTAAACTACTTTAAAAACAAGTATAAGTTCCAACACTTCAAAGTGCCACTGGTAAAATAACTTAAGTATTTTCTTTAATGAATGAGTATAACTATCTAATTCGGAGACCACAGACGAGAAAATTTTAAGATACTATCTGAGAGACTGACATCATTTTCGGAGAAATTCGCTAAGAATTTGAGGGATAAAAAAAAAAGTACTTAATTGATAAAACTAGGTAGTTTTTCAAAAATTGAGATTTTTTCGTTGTGCTTCCTGAATCATTATTCTTGAGGGTCCTTCCTTTGAGGTTTGGTTTTAATACTCAAAGGGTAGCATTCCTCTCCTACATAGTATGCTTTTAGTTTACAGTTATACCATATTTATGTTCAAGGATGAATGTGAGATGAACCTACCAGTACCAAAGAGCAAAATAAACCAAAAAAAAAACAATGAATAATTTGGATGAGAATAGGAGAAAGATTACCTACGGAATTGATTATTAATGAATCATCAAACAATCAATATAAAATATTAAAATTGTTAATAAAAACAAAAGAGAGAATGATGTGAAATCATTGAGAACTGGAAATAATTTCCTTTTAAAGATTTCTGAACAGCAGACAGCATACGACTAATGGTTTTGATTTTGAGGTGAATTACAATAAATCAATCATTACTTAAAATTTTCAGAAACCAGAAATTCTGAGAAGATAGACCAACACTTATTGGCCACTTGATTTGTACAAATTTAATGTTTAAATTAATAACATACACCGGTAAAAGTGATTATTAAACTAAATATAAGTACTAAGTTTCTGAATTTCTAAACAAACATGAGTTAAAACAAAAAATTTTAAAATTGAAAATTAAACATCTGAAGAAAACAAAGTGATAAAAATTTTAACTGATTTAATGATATACACAATACTTCATTCGCCATTTAAAACTGTTTTTCTATATTTGCATGTCTCTCTAAACTGCAATAGTAACTTAATAACTTAAAATTAAAATACCAAATTTCCTCCTATTTCTGATCCTTTAATTTCTTTAATGAACTGTCCGAGGTAAATAAATAGCTGCAGCTCCATCCATCTGAACTCTTGGATCATACATACACTTGATTCTAAATTTTCTGGCACTAATGTAAAACTGCATGGTGGGAAAAGCACATCATAGGAAAGGAATACCTACCGTAAAATAGGTTCAGTACGACAAATTTGATGAGAGATTGGAAAATTTGACCTGAAATAAAAATGATGTCAATGGCCCTATCCAGTTTTTAGGGCAATTTTCCGTGCTAAGAAACAAAAATGTGTGAACATTATGGATTGCAAAAAGTTCTCTGATCTAATATGATTTTTCTGGAAAAATCGGGAGTGTATCGGGGAATTTTCGACACGTTCTATCCATGATTTAGTGTATCGGGGAATTTTCGACAAGTTCTATCCATGATTTAGTGTATCGTATCTGGACATTTCAAGCCAAAATATTCATAAGTTCGAGGAGAAAAATGGATTTTATTGGAGACATTTGACAATGATTAAATTTTCATGCAGGTTTATACCCGGCGGTGCAGTATAATGAACACGGTCAAGAGAAACCTTGAGAAAAACCCAAATTCCTTCGTTAGCATTATTTTCTACCATAAGTAATCTAGTAGGCAAGCTCATCAATATGAAGCAGTAAAATAACTTTTAAGATCCTTGGCTTTCAAGACCCTAGGCAAGTATTTAATGAGGTACCAATGATATTTTACAGTCACCTTTCCAAAATAAATAATTTTTCTTCTAAAAACCTCAGACAGCCAAAAGTATATTGCATTAATTTTAGAGCTAGAACAATCAAACTCAGTCATCTTTTCTTAATAATGGCAACTCTTCACCCTTCAATAACCGATAACATTGAATACACGAAAGCAATGGAATGCGGGCACAAACGCCCTTGAAATGCTGCTAAACAATGTATTCGTCTGCTTTCATAAAGGGTGAAGTTTCTTCAAGTTTAAAGGACGCAACTTAGGAGCATCAACGTATTCATAACCATTGTAGAAGATTGTTGTCAGCGTCAGACCGACCATCGAGCCCCAGAAGAGGAGGTAAAGTAAAGTGCTCGTTGTATATTCGTTTGGCGTGATCACATTGGCCAGGAACATCGCAAAAGCAATGACTAGGATCGATGGATACGTGTAGTATTTCCACCCCTTCTGCTGGCTCAGTGGACTTGGATGTGTTACCTCTTCACCTTCATCTACAATGTACCGTCCATGAAACAAGTCAATGGCATCTTGTCGGAAACCATCCTTGAAATTATTCTTGTAGTATCGCGTCATGGAGTTGATACCATCTCTCAAGGCGCCTTGCCTTGTTCTCTTCCCAGTCCTTGTAAAATCGGTTTTGAGAGCACCAGTGCCAGAGTATTGGATGGAAATGATATCGGCATGGTCTGCCCAAACGTTTTTGAAGAGAGATTCAAAGGCAGCTTGACTTTCTACTGACTGGCCAGATTTGAGGATATTGAGACGCTGCAGGACATTGGTAAGGCTCCTCCTTGCTAGCATCGACTGAACTACATTAGTTCGGTCAAGGCAATCAATGCAGTTCGTTCTGAAAGCACCATCTTGTAAAATGACTTGCCCACCATCTCGGCGGAGCAGAAATACATCAAACTCGTCTTGCTCGTGACCGAGGCGATTGATTAAAATACTAAGTCGGTCCCATCGCATTTTCCGGCATTCATGGTGGAAGTCAAAAGACTCATACCTGACTAGATTATTATCTAAGACTGTAATGATATCTTTGTAAGCTTTCTCTAGTTCACCCTCGGAGCCTCTATGATCAATCAAGTTAACGATGACTTGCCGGTAGTAATTTTTTATCAGCTCCTCGAAATGCTTTGTACAGGCCGACAGCTGATTCTCGTTAGGAATTAACTTCGGAGGAGATTTGTACTTGAGGTTGGGGTATTGCTGCCAAAACAAGGGTATCGAACCTCGAATCTGAACGAACGAAGATCGGTCACCATTCGATTCCACGATTTGCTCAGTTTCCACAAAGTTAGCAACATTGCCTTGTTCGTCAACTCCGCGAGTGAATAGTCTTGTACCTGCCCTCCCTGTGGCCCTACGGGACACAATTGACCACTTGAATGAAACACCATTCAAAGTGCATGATTTGATGGAGACAAACCCTTGAATTACAGGGAGACAGAATGAATGATAAGCAGGTACATCACAGAAATTACTCAGCAAGTGCTCGTTCCATAAGAATTTTGTGTTCGCTATAGACCACATAGTCTGCTTAGAGATTTCGTGGGACATCAAATGTAAGCTTTGCATTGTGTGAGTTATATCGTAAGAGTACGAGAAGTATAGATGAGGGGTATTCAAAACATTTTCTATCATACTTACATAAATCTCGTTCAAACGGGTCTGCTTCTCATTCAAATGCAACAAAGAGCGAGGGAATAGGATAAGTTCTGTGGAGACAATTTGCCAGATTGCTTGCTGATTGATTACTCCGACCTCAATAGCGTCCGTCACAACAACGAGATATGGACCGGCCAACAGTTTACAAATGCCCATCATGCCGAAGATCTTCTTGCGAATACCAGACTCCGCCACTTCAGACATGAAATCATCACGTCTCATGATTTTCATTTCTTGACTGGCCCTGTTGATGGAGAGAACTTTGTTCGCTCCAGGAGACTCCAGGTAAAACATTTCTGAAGTCGTGACCAAATAGAGATCACTGTAAACATCGTGACTACCAGTGTTGGAGACCATGGTAAATTTACCCAACATTTTGGCGAATGTGTGCTCTTCAAGAGGCTTAAGATGATTAACAGAAGAAAGGATTGATATAAGAATCAAATGAACCGAGTGGAGGTTGGACGAAATGTTCAAGGACTACTGGTCATGCGAGCACTAGCAATTGTAGCTGGGAGAGCTGGAGTCAGGATTTCACTGCACAATCTGTTGGAATACAAAGTTTGAACGCGTGCCACTAAAAACTGTAGTCGCGAGTGATGGAGAGAGAAGAAAACCGTTCATGATAATAAATTAGTTCCTGATAGACGGCAAGTGAAAAACATTATCACCCACCGGACCTGTTCGATCGTTACGTGAAAGGCGAGGGAAGTCACGAAGATAACTGATATTTCTCAGAGGTCTAATCGCACGGTTGATGGAAAAACTCACTTACTTTGTAAGGTTCATTCATTAAAAATCACATTCGCTCCGATATAAATGTAAAAGACATTACACTTCCGAAGTTTTGATAACATGAACGATTGAACGAGACGAGGTTATGTTGGAGCGGAGTTCAATCGTCGACATCGGCAGAAGTCGAATTCGAAAAAAGGGCAGTCGTCGACTCGAAGCGAACGGGTCGAATGGTTCCGCGAACTGCCGCGAATGTCATGAACATTCGCCGGGGCGAGTTCGGACGAGTTTGTTATTGTTTCTCATTAAACTAACCCCTTTTGACTTTGAGGACATTAGTAATAGTAATAGTACATCTACCTATATAATAGTCAAGAATGTCTAATATTTTTCACTGAATAAATTTTCGCATGTCGTCGGATAAATTATTTTTTTGGCAGTGTGTCTGTTTAGTATGTAGTAATTTCTTGCCTAGCCACTGCTGTTCATTGTCGGAACGGTGGGAAGTTAATCGAAGCTGTTCAATCCGGAAGTGTTTTTGAGTCAGTTTAAATTAATTAATTAATTTCTTTTTCAGTCTGAGCCCTAATTGAGTGGACATTCTACGACTTTCGCGTAGGTAGGTGGAAAAATCCACTTTTTGAGGAAAAAGTAGTCTTTCAGCAGTTCATAGATTATCTCCACTCGCTACCACGCCAAAGGAGCATATCATTGCGTCTGATCATTGAAGGTTTCTTGAGAACCAAGTTGATAAAAATGCAGATGAAACTGTAGCTTTTCTTGTTCTTGAAAAACTTTAATGGCAGATTTTCTTTTCAGCGAGGGAAACGTCTCTGCTCCATGGTCATAGTCTCCATGACTGAAGATTTCTTCGATGGTAAAGTTCCTTATCACCTTTAATACGCTTTAATATCACAGGTCTTTACATCTACCTCATTGTAAGTTGCTTTCAAGCCTCTACTTTGACAACTTTATTCTTGACGTGGAAGCCAACGTTTTGTTACCCACAGGAGTTACTTGGAAATAAATACATTCATGTAGGATACCTAGAATTTACTACCGACACAGTTTCCTTTGCTTCAATCTGCTTTTGCGCAGTTCCTCATACTGTAACGTGACAAGACTGAGTCATAGAAGGGTGCCTCGGCTCCCTACTAAAGAGAGACAGGGTGCTGAAAACACGAACACAAAAAGATAAGAGGATGAAACACTAAGTATACTTGACTGCAAAAGTGAAAGAGCCGGCTGAGGCCCAGCCTCAAAGAAGTACAACTGGAACTTCTCACACTAGTCCTAATCGGAACATTTTAATTCAAACATGGAAAAAGTTATGACATAGGTACCTATCGAGCATTCTTTTTGCACATCGCGGTAGGACATGATACTTTCAAAGACGAGAAAAATCAAGTTTATTTTCCATGAAATTAAAAAAAAAATTAGGCATTTTCACCGCGACTTGTTTCTGAAAACACAGAAATGAGACATTGATTTTTACACGCAACTTCATAAGAGTTTTTCACTTTCATTGAAGAAATTTGAAGTTCATTTTATAAATCCTTCCATTTTAAGGGGATGCATAATGAAGGTGACATCACTTAACCACAATCCTATCTGCAGTTGCATCATTTCAGATGTTCTTAAATTTTTTACTATTTTGAAGCATAACGGATCAGTACATGAAGAAAAATTGCATGTAATGCACCGATTCTGAGATGCTATCAATCCATATTCCTTGCACAATGGAAATTTTTCTAGGTTCACCATTGATGTGTATGTCTAATCACATTAAAAGATAAAAATAAATAAAAAAAGCCACTTAGCGCCCCAGCTGGGTCTTATTAGAAAAGATATTAAAAAAACTTAAATTCCCTCCAAGTATTAGAATGGAAAAATCCTGAAGACCTCTCTCTTCAAATCATGGTGCAAAATTAAGAGGAGAACGTTTCTCCAAAGTTCATTTTCAATTAAGTCTATTATTGGACATAGCCTTTCTCTTATGAAGAAAAGGAAGACATTAATACGCTAGGCTTTTATTGCTCATCAGTCGAGGACAAATTAAAAATCGAGACCTGTTTACTTAGGTATCTACTTTAAGGGTCAGAAACGAAGCATAAATTTAGTTTAATTTACAACCATTGATGGAATTTCCTGATCCATTATGGCTCTCGTTCTGCTAAGAGAGCTACTTAAACTTAGAGGTCTTTAGTGTCGTCCACGGCAAAGACAAGCAGCCTATACATAATGCTCCATTTGCAACAAACGATAAAATGAATAGTAAAATAAAATATAATGCACAATGGTGAACTAGGTTCGATTGGTTCGGTGCGTTCGGGCATCGACGTATGACCGTTCGCGAATCGACCTCTGACCGTTCGCCACGAATCGACCATTGCCGATGTCGACCTTTGCTACTCGTTCGTTATGTTGTTGCTGCAAAGCTGACGTCATCGCCCAGGCCAGGGCCAAACAAGCGCATGCGCACTGGCTCACTACAAATTCGCCCGCGAAAATTTAAATTGACGGACCTTGGCGGACCGAGCGCCAACAGTGATATAAAATAATAGGTGGTTAAATTACTCCGCGTAGCCGGTAAAAATAATATAGATGACCAATTTTTCTTTTGGATAGGGTTACTTTTTGTCAATCAATATTTTTAGGTACGGACAAAAACCAAACCTGATGTATTTCCTTCCAGGAATCGCGAAGCATCATTCCCTTGGTAATATAGAACTAGCATTGTAGCAAAGCAACATATCGCTGAGGCACCATTCTGCAAAGCAACGTTGCAAAAATATATAATTTTGGATCGTATTGGCCGCATTTAGTTGTATAGTTACTTGCCCTATGACTGAAAAGTCCTCTATTATTAGATTCGCAGCTAAACTATCTGTCGAGCACGACGGTCTCAAACAAGGGCTGCAGAGAGGACATCGATTTAGTGCGTAAACAGTACTGCCGTGCAAAGGAAAAACGACGTATGCGCCTTCAGGCGTTGCCAAATTTCCTTTGAAAACATATGAATTCTCTGGGGAGGTTGTGAATATTTTTCGTCCACTTTTTCAAACAATATTTTTCCTCCTTAAATCTAAAATATTTGAAAATTTCAAGGAAAAATATGCATAATTTCATTCCAAAATGAAAATTTTACCGCAAGAAAGGCGACCCTCGAATGTTCATACGACGTTTTATTCCTTTTATTCGCCGTAATTGCCGGGGCTACCGAGTCTTCCTCTTGCACTTCCCCATACCTTTTTCCTTTGAGCCTTTGACGTTTGGCAATGACTGACGGTTAGTTTATTACTTAATCTGCCATGCAACGCAAAAACGCCGTAAACGACATTTTAATTTTTTTGGAAGCAATGTATCATAGCAGAAAAACTTGTGCATTTACCTTGGGAAAATATTTTTACAGAATTCTTTCGCAAATACTATCAAGGATTTAACCTGAAAGGTGCATGGGTAAAATAGTTTTTATTTTATAAAGTGTTAAGTTCTAAAAAACGCGTGAAAATCTTGATGGATTTACGGCGTTCTTGCTTAGCACGGATGAAATCATCTCCTGGGACTTGGGTTTTTTACGAACTAATCCGGATAGTGGATATTTGAGACTCTACTGTATAATCAACCCTTTTTTTTGTGTATGTGTTGCAGAGATTACTCCATACAACGCCCCGCACGCAGAATTTGGGACTAGTGCCTTGCTGCACCGCAACCAAACTGTCGTCAATGACATTGCTGTACATGGACAAGGATAACAGTTGGACTGAGAAGATCATCCCGAACATGATCGTTGAATCTTGCGGCTGTATGTGAGATCAAGAGACTGAAAAAACTGCAACAGTATTTTTTTCCTTTAGTTGTTATTTTTTCCTTTGTGATTTTCTTATGGATATTGAGACTTGATACGTACCAGACGCTGTGGATTGAAGCTCTTGCAAGGATTTGCTTTGAACAATTTGAATGTCGATGGCCAAAGTGCGAAACTAGGCAACTCCATTGCGGCGTTTCAAAATGTATGCTCCTATTTTATTTTTTCGAAGAGAAATAAGTCAACTCTAACTTAAAATTTCTACCGAATATTTTGCTAATAAAGAAGACAAATCAAGAATGATTTCAATATTTTAAGTTTACTAGTTATCCAGAGAAAAAAATATAGTAGGTATGTCAGGAATTCCGCAACGTTGCGAGTGGAGATATGTGGTTTCGCACTTCAAGAACTACATACCGATACATTTTTTTTTAGATAATACAGGTCGGTTACATTATGTTCGACCAAAAATCACTCCAGGGTATATCATAGCATTCAATGATCACTTTCAGTGGTAATGCTCTTCTTCATTTAATATGACTATTATTTAAACATTCGGTGATTGAACATTTTGAAATTGTGCTTGTCGATAGGAAGAGGAATCATGGTCCCTTGAGACAAATTTTTAGGTTGTGTGATTTTCGTCAAGAGAGTAGGGGTGTTGTTTCAGACAAATCTTGGGGAAGATGGCAAAAGCTGGACGAAGGAGAAAGCTTCAAAGCATCTCATTAAATTGCCTTCAATTGATCAAAAAAGCCCCTGAGACAGTTTAACTTTAAACTTTTAATTGATTCCTCTGCCATTGCCCCTGCAATCCAAGTCGAAAAGTTGCTGTTCGAATTTCAGACGAAAAAACCAGAAAATATAAGATTTTGTTAAGCTACAATTTTTTAAAGCACTTCTTCTCAAAACAACCGTTTTTGAAATGGGAACTTTAAATCGTCTCATTTCTGACCTGCTTTGATATTTTAGGATGTTCCCTAAGCTAAAATATTTGTAAGAAACTCAGCAATGCAACACTGTCATGCACAGAAAAAACTTTGGGAACATCTAAATGCTCATATTGCATTTTTCCGCAGCATGGCAGAACTTTGGGCACTTATACCTAAATTTTGAGTTTCTTAGCATAAAAATCACTATTTCTGTGGAAGATAACGATTGAAAAAGAAGGAAGTGGAAAATTCTAAATATACTGCAAATGATTGTAAGATATAATTTTTTTTATTTTTTATAAAATGAAAGAAGACTCATTATACTTTTTACGCACAGCATATAAGTCATTTCTCTTTTATCATACTTTTTATCACAAAATGTCACTTATTTTCTTTTTTTTTAAAAAAAAATAATATTTATGTCTTGATCAGAAATTACTTGTACTTGTACATGTAATTGTTTTTATTTATTTATTTTTTGCTGTTGTTTGTTTATGAATTTTTGTGGATTTTTCATTGATTATTACACTTGTGACTAATATTGTGCGACAATGTCAAATGACCGAGTGCAAATGTCAAAGGGCATTAGTTCTAGGTTGCCTTGACCACTATTCATCGGTTACTAATCATGTTTCAGAATTTTGATCGATGTGGCCAACCTCAGGGACTGCTCAAGTATTACATAAACCATTTGGGCTTCATTTTGCAATTAGGAACTACAATTTCTGGCTCATCCGTAAAAACACTTACGTACATAAGGAAGCTAATGGTACATACGTTAATTCTAAACTAAGCCTGAAATTGTAGTTTCGAACTGCAAAATGTAGTCCATTTGGGGAGGGGGACGGGGGCTTAGTCCAGTCTTACAGAAGCCTCTTACTCAGCTTTTCTCTGTTATTTTCTGAAAAATTGGTTTAAAGCCAGTCTTACGTAATTCAAAGGAGGGATCAATAAGTTGACCAAAATGCCTCACGTAATATTTGAACGGCCCCTCATTATTTCAAATTATGCATTTAAAAGACTTTTCAATGACTTTCAAAGTATCCATTCAAGAGCTCAAATTCCCGAGTTAAGGTATTTGACAGGCGAACCCTTTGCTTTTGACAACTGAAGGAAACTAACCTTTTCGCGACTCATGTACATTGTACACGTTGTAAAGTGGAACTTTTACTGTTGCCAGTTAAAATGTTTTCATTGTAAGACTCACTGAATATATCTTTCTACCCTCTCAACCTGTTTACACGACTTTAAAATTCGCAAATCGTCCTACTGAATCAGTAGAACTTAACGCATTGATGCCATAGCTGGCAGACCAATCCTTGAAGGGACAGAATGCAAACCTTCAGAATTCAGTTTTTAAACTGAGCAGCTTAGCAAGTATGTATCCACTAAGTATCAAAAACGAAAATTTTAGCTTTCAACAGAATTCTCGCAAGAGTCAGGAATTTTTCATTAAACCCCAGTGTAAAATTTTACAGGAACTACAACAGTGCCATTGGTTTTGTCTAATATCAACCTCTGAGCTAAAAAAAAGCTCTTACAGTAAAAGCCGTATAAAGGGAACATCAGGTAAGTTTGTTAGTATCCGCCTTCGTATCCAACCAACCAGGCAAATTCTCCAAGCAGAGACAGGGTTGATCATACTGGTAGGATTGCTCAGACTGTGGACTAAAAAGTACCTTCGCAATGCTTGAAGTTTCAAAATGAAAAGGCAACTAGAGCTATTTCAGCATGGAGAATTTGACTGAACATAGAAGTGAACTGATGCTAACATTCCTACACCATGCTTTTCTATTATGTCCTTAACTTTAGTATGTTGATGACAGCATCAAGTGCTGGCACTTGACCTAAGTTTTTTTTTAAGTCTGAGGGTTGATTTTAGACAAAACCAGTGGGACAATAAGAAGTCTTGTGAAATTTTACATGAAATTACTCTATGAATAAAAAACCCGAGACTTTTGCAGGAATTAAACTACTCTCATTTTTCTAATCGGTGTCCTTGTTGAATAGCCTGTGTCACACTGTCAAAATACTCAATCAAGATGTCAAGGTCAAGTGCTGTGATTGGTCGAAGTCATCGAATAAGCCAATCGCAACACCTGACCGTGATATTTTGATGGCTAGCTTTGATAGTGTGACACAGGCTGATGCCTTGTAACTGACTTAGCATCCAAAGTAAATTGAGTCATGTGCGATGATGTGGGCTCACGCCTGTCATGGAGGAAGGGGTTATTAAGACTGATTAATAAGTGATTATTGACTAGGACATAAGTATTTAAGTAGAATTTAAAATGTTATGTTTGATTTGTTAGTGAGGTATTTAGAAAATTAAGTTTATTTTTACAGATTGTGTAAGTTCAGTTTTAGGAGAAAGATTTGGTAATTTGTTGATTTCAGTGATTTGAGCGCTGATTCGAATCTTCTGAAATTTTGTGGCAGTTATATATATTTTTTTATTTATTTATTTATTCATTTTTTAAAGATACACGTAATGAATTGCATAGAGTATATTGTGATGCTGGCGTCACAATGCTATGTTTTCCTTACAACTTCTTTTTTTAATTATTAGAATTAGAAATTTCAAATTTTCACAATAATGTTACTTAAAACCCCATATTGTGGGAATTCCAAATTTGTTTTAGCTTTTTTAAAATTAGAACATCCTCTTTGTGTATTTGGAAAATTGTGCCAAATATTGACCGAATTTTTAAAGTTCAGGGGAAGTTTAGATAGCTGCAGAAGTATAATTAGATTCAGTTGTAGTTCCTTCGACTTCGTCCAATAACGTACTGTAAAACTGCATAGCCACCAATTCATAGTAGGTGGAGAACTAACCTTTAGGCATGTTAGACCTCCTTTGGTTTAGAATCACTGAATTATACCTAGCAAAGCTGAACTATGATTGATTTTTGAAAGTAATTTATTTTAAATCAAAAGCGAGTTAACACTTAGAAAATCAAAAATAAAGTATTCAATTGTTGTCATTTTTTTTTCTTCTAAATTGAGATACATTACCAACAGCATGATACCTATCTACATCCTAAACTTCATTATCACCCAAGCAATAGAAATCTGCAAAAGGAAATGCTGGGATACTATGCATTTTGAAAATTTTATTTAATGGTGAACGTATTCTTGAATCACTCAACACCAATCATTTCATTTTTCTTCTCTTCATTTTTATTTTTTTTAGTTCACAAAAGAAAAGTCAGGAAAGAGTCTCCATTAATGACTAAAAAAATCGTTGGTATTGAATTTTGGCGACAATTTTTGTTGTCGTCACATTGTTTAAGTCATGGTCACAATTTTGGCAATTCTTTTACAATATTCGCTTCTCAGCATTAGTAAGGTAATAACTGTAAAAAAGGCGGAACTAAACCGGAAAAGCTAAAGTAGCAAACCCCACAAAGCTGACCTTAAGCTTTGTGAACCCAGAAAATTAAAATATTGAAAACTTTCAATACGAACAGCTATAGTTTGATTAAATTTACCCAGTCATTTAGAATTCACACCATAGAATGGTCAAAAAATGTACGGTTCAATTACTTTTAGGTGTGAGTATTTTCAGTTGATGACCTCCTATGGTGTAGTGGTTCTAGCGCTGGCCCTATGACTAAGAAGTCCCGGGTTCGATTCCCGGCAGGGTGACCTGAGTTTGATGGGCTCAGACAATAGTCATCTGAGGCTGGGGTAATAAGCGTGGAAATAACCAATAAGCTATTTGAAACTAGGTAAAAAAAAAAAATAAAAAAAAGGTTCTTTAGCTAATGACTCATAAAATTTTCATTTCTTGCGAAAGAATAGCAAAACTTGGAAAAGAAAAGTAATCAGCCACATTTTAACCCTCTATGGCAAAGTGTTACAAATTCGTAACAGCGTATTTTTGGGTTTTTTAAAAATTAAATCTTTCTTTTGTGGCATAATTTTGTAAGTTTTCACTAGTTTTTCTCTTATTTTGAATAACTAATTCCCAAAAGTTTACGATTTTGAAATAAAAAATTGGTACTCTGCTTTTTATGCAAGCTACAAAATAAGTAAGTGTCCCCCAGAGTCTCAGATCCAAAATAATTCATGCCATAGAGGGTTGAGTGGTTGGAATAGACTGAACAAAGTAAATTCCAAGCTCGTTTCATAAATATTTCATCTGTGAAACCTCAAGCCGCAAGAAACAATATCTAAATCTGAGGCTCATGTGAGGAGTAAATTTTAGAGATAGTTAAGATAGAGCAAAATAATTTTTGTTTCATTTGCCGTGCTTTCTTGATTTTTATTGAAGATCTTAAATACATTTAACTTACAACTGGGAATGATAAACATCTGAAAACGTAAAAAGAATGATTGGAGGGATGAACTGGTTTAGTTTGTTCTCAACTGGTAATCACCATTTTGAGTGATGTACCTAACCCAAGGCAATGCTTGATAACCACTCTTTTCGATAATTTTCAAATACCGCACCTGGAAAAACGCAGAAGAATAATTAATGCAATGCTTGCTCTACTTATCATTCATGAAAAATGTATGCGACAAAAGTTATAGCATCAGTTGCTTTCATAGCTAAGATTAACCTTTAGCAAAGGCATGAAGAATATTTATACATATAAGTAGGTGATCATATGGATCGCATTTAGAAAAAAGGAACCAGCGCGATTACAGTGTTGTAAAAATGTTGCTTCTATGTAATTTTCTAAAAAATCCCTCAGAATAGCAAAAAGTTTTTGCTAAACACCAAAAAATTCGTAATTTTAAAGGAAAATAACCGTGTAAATTTTAATACCGTACATATATTGAGTATTTTTAAAAGAAAAGAAGAAGTTGCACGATTTTGAAACCATTGTGATCGCGCTGGGTCTTTTTTTGCTAAATGTGATCCGTATGATCATAGCCAGGGTGCAGTCATGACTTTATTTTACACAGAACATTCTTACTTTAGAGGTAAAAAATTCGATATGAAAACAATTTTTTTCTTGGAGTTGTGCTTTTGGCGCAAAACTAGTCATGTACAATCAGAGAGCGACTGTAGAGGCGTTTCAGAACTAATTGGACCTAACATCAGTACAAAGCAGCTTTTCCCTCTCCAATAAGTGGGTGCTTTGCATAATCCAAAGTTATGATGTCACTTTTAACTACGATCGTAGAGTTACAGACTTGTGTCTCTTGACTGGTTTGTTGGGCTGCCTTTGTTCTACTTAAGCACTTGAGGATTATTAAATTATTGTCTTCAAGTTTAAGCAAGAAAGAGAAAAACGTTAGTGAAAGTCTTTGTGAAACAGAAACAAATGCTCTTCGAACTGGATTTTTGAAGGCTATTAATGCACTATTGACCAGCAATGCAAAAGACAGTTACAGTATTAAAGATTCTATCTGCTTCCAGAAATTACGATTTTTATTAAGAACTCTTTTACTTATTTTTTTACCTCTCATGGCATGTTAAATGCTCCTGTAGTGAAGGAGGAAACTAAGTTGTTAATGTTAAAACCATAGAGGCGAAATGAAAAATGATGTCCAATTTCCATTGCCATTACGCCGGTCATCAAATAATGCCCCTCGGCACAACACAATGAAAATTCTGATTTCTCCAAAAACAAAGCCTGATTTAGCGAAATACACTAATGTTCAGCTTAAGTCAAAAGATGCGTATCTGAGATTGTGATGTCGCTGCTCATATTTTATACTTTTTTTAAAGAATACTAACCATAATAACGGCGCAAATCCGCAATCACATGTCTCGTTTGAGGTGTCTGAGAATCTACGCCCCTATATTAATTTTTTAAGGGAGAACATATTGACATCATTCTTTGAAGTTTTTGCAGAATTTTCTTTGAACAGAGAAGAAAAATCTCGACAGTTTTAAAAAATTGCCGTTGAGTAGTTTTCCGTTTAAAAAATAAAGTAAGACAGGAAGTCTGCGACGTCGCACACCGAGTTATGTGATTGCCGACTTACACCGTCTATAAGTCTCTATTGGTAAATTTTGTTTGCTCATTCTTTAAAAGTTACACAAAATTACAAGGTAACTTTGCTTGGAAGAGAATAACACATGATTGAAAATTTTCGAACATCGCAATTAAGATACACTTTTAGCCATCAAAATGGTATCACACTGAACTAAAACAGTTTGAAAAATGCTGGATTCAGTAGTCTTAATGATCCATTATGTGCTCATTTTAACACAGTTTTTGGCTCGTGTTCATTGGCACGGGATGCTGTGGGGGCAGATCCGCAACACTGCCGTGCTTAGGAAGAACGCCCTATGAACATTTGAGAGTTGCCAAATTTCCTTCGATAAAATGCTTATTTTTAAGGAAAGTTGTGAATATTTTTCTTTGAAATTTTTAGGAGTTTTAGGTGTATTGCAAACAAAATCATCTGAAAAATTGGGAGACAAATATTCATTAGTTTACCAGGAAATTTATGTTTTATGAAAGGAAATTTGGCAACACCTGAAGGTTCATTTGGCGTTTTTCCTCAGCAGGGCAGAACAGATCTCCACCTTTTATTGTATCTCTGTTAGCTGGAACAGGCTTACCTATCAAGAAGCAGAAATAAATGCAAGCTGAAGAACTGAACACAACAGCTGATATACATGAAGTTACTTAAAGCAATTTGCTACAAAAACCGTTAAAATACTGAAAATTAATTACCTGAATACCAGACGTCGTGAAGTATGGAATTTCAAACTTGACTTGGATAGGTGGTTTTCCTTCACTGTCCTCATTCTCCACGCTTGGAAGGCCGAAATGAGCTCGCATCAGGAATTCTTTTCCTCCCTGTGAAAATAAAGCACACCAAGTCTTGAATGTTCGGAAAAACTGATGAAATAGATTTTCAAAAGCATTCAGAGACAGCTCCTTGACTGCCTAAGAAATTTTTATACAAATTTAAAAGACTTAGACTGAGAAACTCACTTCTTTCCTTGGGAAACTTTTTTTTTTTTTTTTTTTTTTTTTTTTTTTTTACGGAGGAATAACAGAAGGATAGTCCATACGGACCCTGCACATTTCTTATGGAAAAGTGCACTGCAATCGACTATTAATTTTTTTTATTGCATTCAATTCATCTCAAGTCGCTGATCAAAAGTTATCATTGCGCCAACTTTTTACAATGCACCGTTTCAGCACAATACGCCTGGAACGCTTCAATTATTCGGCAATAAAGAGATAGGAAGATTCCTCATTTCAGCACTCAAGTGAACGGTCGGCTGTGTGTCAACAAGGAAATCAGGGGAACTGCAGCACTGAGCGGCAGTCTTATCTCGGATTCAGCATGCCTTTTTGCTTGACCATCCAAATCAGATTCGTGAGGAGCATAAGAACAGGATAGTTGGAGAAAAACAGTGAACGTCAAACAGATGAGAACAGAAGGGAGATAGCCCCAGAGTAGGCAGGAATAGATAAGGAGACAAACACTCACTACATTTTTCCTTATTCACATCAGACCTGTTCTCGAATGCCTTGTTCTTTTTGACTGTTTATTGCCAAATAATTAAAGCGTTTCGGGCGTTTTGTACTAAACTGGTGCATCATAGAAAGTTGACAATCACTTTTGAACAGCATCTTGAGATGAATTGAATGCAATAAAAAAATTAAAAATCGATCGTGGTGCACTTTCCCATAAGGAGTGTGCGGGGTCCTTTAGATTCATCCTCTTAATTTGAATTAAACACCCAAAGTTGAATTTTTTACTGTAATTTAAGAAATCCCTCCAAAGTTTGATATCGAGTCATCTTTGGTTCATCCTGAGAACACTGCCATAATTAACGGGCCTGAAAATTATAAAAAACTTACTGGGAATGATTTAATGGTCCACATGATGGCATTTTGTTCTGGAGCATACTTGACACTGCCTACAGTAGTTTTAAACTTGGGCGAATCAGCATCAGCGGGAACAGGAATTATGACCTCGACATTGTTTGCTGTTGAGCGACGCTTGAACTGCGATTTAGCTTTTACCATATACTCTACTCGACTGTGCGCATGTCTTTCAATGACGCTCTCGATCCAGATCAATGGTTTTACCTGAACACAACATAGATGACATTAATAAAATACATAAGAGCACTTACAACAATTGAAATGGTCAATCTGAGCATGAAGCTCAAAACTTCTTGACATGAGCTAAATAAACTTCTCAGTTCCAAGACTAGACGAGGTAAGTGAAATCTATACAAAAAGATATGTAAAAACTGACCTCTTACACCCATTTTTGAGCTGCGCTTCTTTCCTGGAGGGGAGGTGTGTGTGGGGGGGGGGGGGGTTATTGGATTGTGACCCTTGAGATTTCCTTTCTTTCCAGCTTCACTATTAGGATTAAAATTATTTACTGACATGTCATCACCTTCCGGCCAAAGTATCTCAAGTGCCATGCAGCATTTCAAAATTTCCACCGACACTTTATTTTCTTACAGAGAAATTGTTGGTCGAATCGGTTTGAAAATTCAGTGAAATTTTTGGACAGCTTTCTTAAACAATTTCTCTGTAAAAAAATAAAATGGCGGCATACATTTTGAAACTTTGCGTGGCGCTTGTGATACTTTGGCTGGAAGGTGACAATGTCAAGATACCTGCTTGTTTTGTGTAAAAAATTCTAAAATTCTCTGGGAGAGGCAAAAATAGGGGGAAATGAAGTAACGAAAAACAACTTACATGAGTGTTAAGCCTATAGGACATCAATTCAAATTCACCGTCCGGAGGGATAAAAGATATTGTTCTATCGTTTTCAAACCTGTGAAAGAGGAAAACAGTTATAAACAAAATAATTTTACTCAAATTATGAGAACAGGGAATTTTTTTTGAAAATACCCAATTTTGTCTCGAATAATAGAGATTCGGTTTCAAGATAAGAAGAAACCAAATGGAATTTCGTTTGAATTTTTGGTGTGTTTGTTCAATTCATTTCAACAATTCTTTCAATTAAATTTTTAGGGAATAGATGAGTGTAGATACATTTAACTGCTATGTAATAACTGGCCCAACATTTTGTGTAAATAACTGGATTGCAATTTGGAGCACACTGGAAGCCATTGTGCTGCTTACACCATTGCAAATATCAAGCTGTTTAGTTTTCTTATTTTTTGACGACCATGTATTAAAAGCCTTGTAGCGATCAGCAAGAGGAGCATCAAAATTATTGCAATCTCTAATTTTGTTTTTGGCATAAATGTACTCGGCAGTGCAAAACATCAAGTTGAAGTTGCTTTCTGCTGAAAGTCATGGATAAAAATTTTGCCACAGCAAATTTAATCTTTGCCTGAGTTACATTGGTTTTAAAACACTCTGATAAGTTGAAATGGCAGTCACTTCTGTCACACACATTTCATGGAGCAAAAACTGTTGAGATGAGTTTAATAGAAACTCACAAAGTTGCATTTTTGAAAAGAAATAGTTAAAAGTGGTTTCGAATCAACTTGCCGTAAATTTTATCCTGTCAAAAATTCAAAGTTGGGAAAAAATACATATTTTGAACACAGCCCTAGGATAGAATGACAATGCTAAAAAGGGGGAAATTCTCTAATCAGTATTGCAAGACACAAACTTTTTCCTCTTTTAAGGTCTGGCAAAAAAATAACTTACCTTGATAATCTGACACATTGATGAAATTTGACATCTTCAAGCTCAACCGATTTTGATTTGCCTCGCCCTGTACTTTCAAACAGAACTTTGTCATTTAGACCCAGCCGTAACTCTGGCATACCAGAAAGATAGACCCTCATCTTAATAGCACCAACTATTTCACTGCGTAATACATTTTTATTTGCGTTTGTCTGGAATTAAAAATAAATCAACTTGATAATACTTTCTAAATAGATAAGCATCGATAGATAAGCAACAAAATCTAGTGATTTAAAATTTATGGGATTTATTCATTTATGGGATTAGCATTCATAATAATGTAGTGGAAAAAAGTATTGATGAAATTTTGAGAGGAACAGAAAATTGAAGAGAAACAATCAAACGTCATGTATTGGGAAAAACTCTGAATGTCTGAGAGGACTTTGGATACCTCTTTGGATACATACATAATGATAAGTTATACTTTGGATAGTCATGACAAAAGAACACTTTCTCTTAAGAATCTAAAAAAAATATGTGAAAAATGTAACTAGGAAATAATGTTGATTGTTACTTACGAGAAGATTAACTGATTCAATGACATCTAAAAATACTTCATTTTTGCGATACTTGATTCCTTCAGATCGCCATGAAACTGCATTCGTGACAGCCATTGGAATTCTGGGTTGAATCTCCAGTTTATGACCTTCTTGGGTTATATATCTACAACAGAATAACAATATATAATATGACATATACTGATATAACAGTATACCTACAACAGTATAACAATGACAGGGAGTTGATGATTCTGCTAGGTTTGATATTTTTTTTTTTTTTTTTTGGTTTGCTTCTGCTTAAGTATTAGTTCTTAAGAACAGCCAAGTTTCAACAGACTCCACTTTTGGCAAAAATACTTTATTAGTGACTCTTCGAAATTATAGCGAGCACTTTCCAGAAAAGGATTACTACAGCAGGGAATAATAAAAATTTCCGTGCTGTTTAAATTTTAAGACTTTTTTTACATGATGTTCCACACTATCTTCTGAGTAAAATGAGCTTTTCAAATAAAACTTTCTACTTGCCAATCTTGAGAAAATTAGATTGATAAAGTGCATTTTTTGACAGTTCTATACATATTATCAGAAGGAAAAATCCAGCTGAGTGAGCTCCTATTTCCTCCCTGACTGGAAAGATAGGACGGTGCGTCAACTTAGTTCAATAAAAAAAGGCTCTGTATTTTTGACTCCGCAACAGTGCAACTTCTTTGTACAATAACACATGTTAAATTAACGAAAATGCACTTTCTAGACCCAAGTTTCTCAAGATTGGCACATAGAAAGTTTGATTTTAAAAGCGCATCTTACTCAGGAGATTGACAGCGACACAATACAAAAATATTTCGAAAGTTAGCCAGAGCTGAGTTTATTGGTATTCCGTGCATGGCCCTTCACCAAAGGAGGGAAGTTTCACTTGTCAAAAAGTTGTTATTGAATTACAATGGTCTTTCTGATAGCAAAAAGCTCTTTAGAAAAGGTACAAATTATTTTGATTGCCATTATCAAAATAAAATCAACTGCAATTTTTTGGCAAGAGAGCTGGCACAGTCTACACATTAATTTTTTACATTGAGAAATATAAGAGAGCATTATGACAAACTACCTAATTTGCATTGTCATTGTAAAATTCCTGAAGTAAGAAAAAGGCCTTTTCTGAACCCCTAAATCAATAGCCTCATAAGTAGTGTCCTTGAATTTGTGTACTTACTCTTGTAAAATTTTGCTATCCGTAGTTTGAGGGTATCCAAAATCTAAAATTTCATCCAGTAATTCATATATTACGACGAAATTATCTCTTATACTTTCTTCTTCTATTTCTTTAAAATATTCAGTCATAACCTGAAAAGAAAAAACAAGTTAGAATTTATTACCATAAAAACTACTAGCACAACACATAAGCCTTACTGTTTAGAGTTCTTTGTTTCACTTTTTGAATGTCAGGCAGATTTATAGAGACCAGTGCTTATAATCCGCATGTTTTGAAGTTCTTGATTTCTGCAATGTACTTTCCGCAGTCTCCAGTACAAACAAGAACGAGATATTGGCAAAAGAGAATAAGCCACTTGCTTCGTGCTCAGAACTAGAAGTGCTTAAACAATTTCTTTCAGGTAAGCTATCGGTACCACTTGTTTTGAAATAACCCATAGGCTCTGATAAGGCCGCTCTTGTCGGAAATGGACAGCTTTATTGAGACTGAGTGAGCTCTGCACTGGAGAATTGTTGTTTTATGAGTCCGTTTGTTGGATTGCTTGGCTTTTAAAACTGACACACACTACAACAACTTATGTATGCCAATTCCAAAAACGTGATGGCTATCAGTGAAGATCTTCAGATAGTTACTACTTTTTAACGGAGCTGTTCTGATAGCTTACCTAAAACAGAAGCACCTCTACTCGGAAAATTGTCTATCATGTACATTCATTGTATTCTAGGATACCTACTCTAATTTCAAATTAAGTTGCTGGCAGTCATTAACATATTATAGTTTCTGACATATTTTTTTTGTGTTGATATCTTGAATCATTGAAAGGTGGAAAGAAAATTTCTGTTCAATTCGGAACATTTAAAAAATTAGGAAAAGGCAACTTCACAGCAATGTCAGTCCATCTGTCTTCACATGCATCTATTTGTATGCGTATGTTAATCATAGTCCTTGCTGTAAAAACTGGCAAGTGAAAGACGGAGTCAGTGGTTGGTTCAGGGTATTGTTTAAGGATTGGAATGCAGGTGCATTAGCTTATCCAAAGGACCCCAGCTCACTGAAGTTTATCAAATTTTGAACAATAGACCAACCAACTCACCTGACACCACCGTTTGGTCGCCATCTTGAGTGGTGTGTATAACATGAGAGAAAGGCCTTGCTTCAACAAGATATTTGCATGAGCTTTGCTTCAGGAAAATGTCTCACTTGCGAACTTGGACCAAATATTAACTAACTCAATATTAATCGCAGTAGCAAGTAGGACTCTTGTCATTGCTCTCAGAGATCCAAAACCGACTGAGAAAAGAAGAGGTGACAGCAAACAGTGGGATATTTTGTTATCCACTCAATTGTTTGTGTGTGTTCAATATAATAATTTGTCTAATCCCTGACCATGTTCAATTATTACCTTAATTCTGTTTACATACTCTAAACAACTAATCCATCTTTGCATGGAGACTTGTTACAAGAATGTGAGAGCCTCGTCCTGCGGTGGCAGTAACTGCAAAAAATCCCCAAAGTTACATTTTTGCGATTTGACCATGAGACGAACCTAATAAAAACTTCCCAGGAAAACAAAGCCATATTAAAAACAAATCACTTTACATTACCTGTACAATTTTATGTAGAAATACAAAGACTAAGGCGATATTTGCATTTTTCTTCGTGGTAGATACAATGTACAAGTTGTTGTACTTGATATAAGAAAACGTGCACTCGGAGGTCTGGAGCATGGGCGTGAGCATCCCTTCCTCCTCTTTTTCCATTAGTAGTGGCATGAATTTTTCTATGACGTTCATGTCAATGTCTCCTCGGTAATTCCTCGATATAAGGACCTGGGTAAAACAATGAAAAAAATTAGGTTTTTCACAGACAAGTGCTGCAACTTCAATTCAAAAGCTTACGAAAAATCTTCAATACTAAGCTTCATTTATGGGAACCGCACTGATTTATGATGCAGCCATCATGAGGTGAGGCATTTTTTGAGAGGCAAAGAGTTGTTGATATACCGAATACTGTTGGCTGACCAGTGATGTTCCAACTTTGCCTCCAAATTGTTGAGAGCTTTTTCGCTTCCAAGCCTAATGGACTACTAGAAAAGGTACGAATTTCAGCATTCTGATACATGTGTCTTCATCAAAATTTCACGTAAAATACAATGCGCACAATGAAAATTACCGAAATCAACTCCTTCCAGAGATATTTAATGATTCTTGGTGCGAGAATTGAAACCGCCCGCTCATGAAAACTCAATGCTCTACGGGATTCACATCGTGCGCTAAACGTTATCATGAACGTCTCTGCGATAAAAAAATCGGCAACCTTAATCTTGGCACTTTGGCTCAGCTAGAGCAAATTGCTTATAGTTTGAACAGTACATGGTGGGAAATGAACATTGCTCGATTGAGAAGCTTGCTGAAACCGTTGTAGTGCGCGGTTTAACTCACGTAGAGCTTTGAGTTTCTTGTGAGCGGGGGGTTCAAATTCCTCGTAACAAATGTGAAATAAAAACGTTAATATCTTCGTTAGAAGTTGGTTTAAGTAATTTTTGTTGTGCGAATCGTGCTCTACGTGAAATTCTGATCAGGAAACATGTATCAGAATGCTTAAATTCGTACCTTGTCTAGAGGTCCATTCTCAGGCGCAATTACTTTGACAGCTTCTCTTTTGAACTATAAAGAAGCTTTAATAATAATTCAGTCTCCTTTTACAAAATGAAATAGGAGCGGAGATTTTCAAACAACATGACCGAGATACTCATGTTTGCGCTTTCACTGGTGATATGTTGAATCCAGCTAGATATAATACAACTAATGGAGAGCATATCGTTATCAAGAAAATCTGGCAGCACAGAAAAGTATATAGACAGCGTAAGTCCGCAATCTTGCGGTGTCTGAAAATCTCCGCCTCTATGTTATTTTTTTAGAGGAGAAAAAATTGACATCATTCCTGAAAGTTTTTGCAGAATTTTCTTTGCACAGAGAAGAAAAATCACTGCACTTTTAAAGAATTGCTGTTGAGTAGTTTCCCGTTTAAAACATAAAGTATGACAGGAAGTCTGTGATGTCGCAAACCGAGTTATGTGATTACCGACTTACACCATTGATATAGGTAAAATAGAAAACAACTTACTTTCCCTTTGACATCTAATATGTATATGGCAGAGGCAGACATCTTGGATTATCTTCCTTTACTTACAGTTGCCAATACTGATATAGGTGTTTCTAAAAGAAAAGAATAAAACGCAACATTCTTATTAAGTTGGTGGCTTTAATTTGAGACAATCTAAGCACATCCTTGAACACAAAAATTGTATAGATTTTGATAAGTAATCCTAATTTAATCTTCTCAAGGTAACATGATGTGTGATGGTGTGGAAACAATCACTGCGGAAGAACAAGAGCACATTATGTAAAGAATTATGTAGGAATTCATGAGTGAAAGATATCAAGCAGCATCAAATCCTGAAATGCTAGAGGTCTTCGCCGAGAAGAGATATAAGAGACAGGCACAGAGAATTTATTCATAAAAACATCTGTTTGTAAGTACACAAATTTTGAAATACACTCTTGATTTCATCATCATCAATAATGCTCGTTCGCCTCACCTCAAGTATAGATTGATTGGAGAAAGCTTCCTGGATGAAATGCCGACTAGAATCAATGGAAAATTGAAACTTCCACTATTATAAGTTGCAAGAAGGTAAAATTGAGAATTGGCTCATTGACATTAATAAGAGCAATGAAATGTCACCACCCGAAAGGCCCGCTAACAGAGCGAGATAACCTCAAAAATTAAAATTAATAAAACCAAACAAAATTTTAGGCAGATTCTTCGGACAGAATCCGAGTTTTAATAGGCAAAAATGTGAGAGGCCGTTAAATGAATTATAGAAAAGTAATTGCTAGTTATAGAATAGCTTCGGAAGAAAGGTGGAGTAGTAAACAGTTGTCAAAAAACACTATCTAAAAGAGTCCAGCTATACGAAGAATCAGATGGATCGGATACTTACAATTAAATATAAAACTAGACTGAATGAATTTAATTATACCATGATAACAACTTAACTAAGTCACAAAAATAAATAAAATTAACTATTTAGCGTGAACGAATTCACTTTCCGCCCTTATCAAAACACGGCCTTTGTTGACATGACATGGCATGGCAACGTTGCGCTATCACCGCCGCACCTGCAGCAATCATCAGAAGTATGAGTGTACAAAAGGTTGCGGACACGGGATTTGAAGGGACTTCGTCATTTTTTGTCAAAGCTTCAGCTTACGGAGCAGTTGTACATGAAAGAGGTGTACCCGCCAAAATTAAAAAAAAAATTATTTTTGGCCGAATGTCTCCGACCCTCCGCGTGGTGATCGTGTGACCGTGGCAGGCCCGCCACAAGGGGGGGGGGGCCGAGAAAGATTGATGGCTACGCAGGCCCGCCACAAGGGGGGGGGATACTGGGTCCTTGGCACCGGGGCCCGGGCCCTGGAGGGGCCCGTGACGCAGGTGACAAACCACTACGAATTCATGTGTAACCCTTGTCTCGTAGGGAAAAGTGAAAAAATTACCCTACAAATTCCGCAAAAGGTGAATAAAGTTTCAAAAACACGCTAGTGCACTATAAAATTTTTCTTACTTTTTTAGAGATTTTCAAGATTTTGAGAATATGTAGAATGATATTTTTAGTAACTGTGTTTCATTTTCTTCCGTTGTCGGATGCTAAAAGGCTCCTTTCTGGGCATCCTCGACTTCAATGGCTTAACTCCCTTGCCATAGACGTACGAAAGGGGAGTCCAGGGGGGCCCGGCTCCCCATAGAATTGAAAATTATCATCTGCCCCCTCAAAAAAATTTACAGATGTTTTGAATGCAACAATTCGAAAGTTTTTGGTGCTGAAAGTAAACAAAAAAGCGTAATTATTCTGCAGAAATTGATGGAAAATCTCCATCATAAGAGCTTCATAATGCGTCCAAATAGATTTAAAATTTAAAAAAATTTACCGGGGGAAGCCCCCCGGACCCCCCCCCCCCCCTGTGCTAGGGGCCCGGGCCAGAAAATTGGTACCAGGGCCCGAGATGGGATGTGGCGGGCCTGGACCGTGGCCTTATTATGGATGTTAGAGAGAACATTGGTAAATTTTTTCGAACAAAAAAATGAGAAACTGTCGGAGAAACGTATGAATGTTACCTATAGAAACCTAGTAAGTTAAATAATTAATTAGAATAAAATTTTTTTGAAACGCAAAATTTGTACTTTTAAGAGATGACGTGTTTGCGCCTCTGTGGCAACCCCACAAGGGCGTTTCCTTTTCGACTTTTCAAGGAAGCTGAGTTGACACGATAGGATGTAGAAATTATGCACATCGTTACCCCGCCTTCAATTTTTGAGGTAGGCCATCGAACATCCATCATACAGCATGCAGCAATATTTCGTCACCTTCCAGGCAAAGTATCACAAGCGCCATGCGACGTTTAAAAATTTCGGCCGCCATTTTATTTTTTTACAGAGAAATTGTTCAACGAAGCTGTCCGAAAATTTCACTGAATTTTCTTTGTGCTGCCGATAAAATTTAGTGAAATTTCCAAACAGATTCAACCAACAATTTCTCAGTAAAAAAATAAAATGGCGGCGGAAATTTTTAAACGTCGCATGGCGTTTGTGATACTTTGCCTGGAAGGTGACGATTTATAGTCCAGGCGCCTGGTAAGTCCACCTGGAATTTTGGGTACACAGCGATTTTTTTGGCTTACTTTATGTTTTTTGGGTCGCTGAAACCGAAACTGAAGTTTCCTACCGCGTACGTGGTGAGCATTTTCGGCCATATTGAAAAAATTGCCTAAAAAGACCTTTTTTTGCGGTTTTTTTTTATATAGCGGCTACGCACGAGAAAAAGTCCCGGATTTAGTTAATGTTTTGAATAGCTGACATAATTTGGAAGAAAACAGCATATGATTATGATAGGTTTGCTCAAAAATTGAGGAACCTCGGATCTCGGAACTTTGGAACGCTTCGGAACTTGGCTGACCGCGTCGAGCCGGATCGCGCGTTGACGGGTGCGCCGCGAAAACGTGAATGGGCGCGATGTTCACGATGCTGTATCTTCCTCAATTTTTGAGCAAACCTAGCATATTCATACATCATTATCTTCCAAATTATGTCAGCTATTCAAAACATTAACTAAATCCGGGACTTTTTCTCATGCGTAGCCGCTTTATTAAAAAAAAAAACCCGCAAAAATTGCCTTTTTAGGCAATTTTTTCAAAATGGCGGAAAATGCTCACCAGATACGCGGTAGGAAACTTCAAATTCGGATTCAGCGACCCAAAAAACATAAATTAAGCCAAAAAAATCGCTGTGTACCCGAAATTCCAGGTAGCCTCATTTTTAGCTACCAGGCGCCTGGACTACTACTTCGATATTAAGCTTCCATCGCCTTGCTAAGGCGCAGGGATACAACTCTTTGAACTCTCCGGAACGCGTAAGGTATCACGCTTCAATTGAAGGCGTTTTCTAGTTTACTATTTTTGCACAACGGGATTTTCTGGTCCCATAACGATCGGAGCATGGAAGAAAGGGAATGACTGATCTTGCGAGCTACTTCCACGGTTACACGCGCATCCCCATGTTATAAATTTTTCTATATTACTCTCTCGAATGTCCGTCGATTTCACAATCAACTAGAAAATTGATTGTGAACTCGAAATTTGCTCGGACATGATTTGGTTCTAATTTCAGCTTTTTAAACATATTTTGCATTATATTGTTAATATGAGTTCCTTTTAATATTTAGTTTAATTACTCCTGCCTCTAAATATTTAATTATTCTGCAAAAATTATCCATTTGCGAAATACAATCCTGGCTTTAGCGCCCATAAACTATGGGTTTAACGGTCGAAACTGACGTAGCAGTAGCGGCACAGAAAAACCGAAACACCAGGCGGCGACGCTCCTTTTTTTTTGATTTAAGTACCCTTTATTATTCAGTTAAATTAATCCTGCTTCTTAATTTTTAATTCTTCTGCAAAATTTATCAATTTGCGATGTACAATCGCGTCTTTAGCGCCCTTAAACTACGGCCTTAACGGTCGAAACTGACGTAGCGGTAGCGGTAGAGGGAAACCGAAAAACGAAGCGGCGACGCTACTTCAGTATTGAGCTTCCATCGCCTTGCTAAGGCGCAGGGATACAACTATTTAAACTCTCCGGAGCGCGTAAGGTATCACGCCTCAATTGAAGGCGTTTTCGAATCTTCTGTTTTTATATAACGAGATTTTCCGGTCCCATAACATTCGGAGCGTGGAAGAAAGGGAATGACTGATCTTCCCAGCTACTGCGACTGCTACGGTTACGCGCGCATCCCCTTGATTTGATTTTTTGTGCTATGCTCTTGTTTTTACACGTAGTTTTTACACAAGTTTTTACACGTAGAATCGATTTTTAACGTTGCCGAACCGGTAAACTGATCAGTTAAATCGATTTTGAACGATTTTTAAAGGAAAATCGATGATTTTTCAGGATCGAAATAGTTTATTTTCTATTCATGAATGAATAAATGCACCTGAAAAGACTGAAGCACACGTAGCCCTATGTATTTTGACACGGAGAATTGATTTTTAACGTTGACGAGTTGATTTATCTATCGTTTGTATCGAGTTTTTGCGATTTTTTGCGGGAAATCGATGGTTTATCGGGATTGAGATCGGTGTCTCTCCATCCAAGATCGGAGAAATGTACCCTTCATGATTGGAGCCTTAAAACCTTGAAAATCGTCAACCTTAAAAATGATTCTACCCGTAAAAGTACTTGAAAACAGCGTGCTCCGACCATGTCAGGTGCATATCTCCACCCTCGGACCGTAAGTAACCAATTTCATTCCTGATCAAAAATCGATTTTCCATGAAAATCACAAGAAGTTAATATGATCAGTCATTATATCGACTCGTCGACTTCAAAAATTGATTTTGCGAGAATAATCAAAAACTGCACTCATGCGCTTTGTCCTCCAGGCCCTTCAATTATAATTTTCAACTGACAACGATTGTGTTACGACAGCCGACAGTGCAATGACTGAATGTTTATCAAGTGTTTCATCTTGATACGGTTTGTAATTGTTCCTTTACCAGACTCGTTATTTTCATTTAGGAGGAGTCGAAAGAGGTAAAAGAAAGATTTCAGTTCCGGATAGTAACATTTCACACCTTGAAAAATTGAAATGTTCAGTGGTGCGTAAATGTTTCTCGTCCCTAGAAAAAGATTAAAATGAGCTGAAATGTTCAGCAAATTCGGAAATCCTGACGTTGAATGTGCTCTGCTAAAAAGTCCCTACTGACGTGAAAAGGGTAAGAGATGGTTTTGAAGGGGGAAAAAATGAGATTTTGGTGACAAATTTTTGTTATCGCCTAACCTAGGATTTCATGTGAGGCGTGAGGGACTTTAGGTCGCCTTCTTTTTAATGCTTCGTCGTTGACTCGTGTTTCATGAAGCCGGTCTGCCAGTGCTCCAGTGTCAAGACTTCGAAGCAATCTGTAACGCAGAGACATTTCGTCGACTAGTTTTGAGTCCTCCCTCGCCAGGTTCTTATAACTGACTGTAAGTTGCTGTATACATAAATCTGATTGGTATTCTTTTTAACTCTTCTGCAGAAACAGTTGGGATACGCGCTAGAAATTATTTCTTGAAGTGTCCAGGAAACGACCATGAAACCATGTTCGTCGTTCTTAGAGTGTAAGGCCGCACAGTGGATCAAGTCGATAGGAGAGGTCGGACACAATTTTGAAACTTTAAAACCGCTCATAACTCCGTTTTTAAAAATTTTGAGGTCTTAAAAATGGTCCCATCGGTTCGATCTTTATTAAAATTTGTTAAAGAATCACCCCTCAATATTCAAAATTTGACGAATTAAATATAAATTTACAGTTTTGGTAAAAAAGTTCATGTGCGAGCTCTCCCATTGATTCGGTCCATTGTGAGCCGCAGCCCACATTTTGGACGGGCAACGTTGTCATACATTTTAAGAATCAAGGCAATTTTCGGAAAATACAATGTAACGATGAAAATTAAAATTTCTGTACAAGAGAAACAATAAGAAATGCACCCTCAGTTAGTATCGGATACAACGAACACTGAGTAAATATCATTATAACGCCTGGATGCAACTATTCGAGCTTTACGGATGGCCGTGTTGCATACGCGCGAGAGTGAAGGCGTTTTGACTGTCCAGACATTCACCGCTCACCACCTTACCCGCGGCGCACGGTGGATCGAGTCAATTAGAAAGGCTGGACATGGAATTTTTGACTATGACTGGAAATTCTTATGTTTATTTCATCACATTTGAAATTTCAACGAGTGATTTCGGAGTAAAATTTTACGAGAAAACCAATAAAACCACTTTTAAAACCTCAAAGGTGTGTTAAAATGGAGTTATAAGCGTTTGAAGTTTCCAAATTTTGTCCGACCTCTCCTCTTGACTCGATCCTCTGTACTTCGAGGGTCCAAAATGACAAAACGCCTTCAATGGAGGTGTTGCATGTGTGAGGAATTTGCGATTTGACTTATGATTATTATGTAAAAGTTCGCGAGAAACACGATGGTGCTACTGGTTTTCTCTGAAATTAACTCCCAAGCTCAAAAAAAGCTCTCAAGTTGAGGCCAAAATGGACGGGAATATCCGACACTATCCTGAGAGTCCACCTCTACATCAAGACAAACTCTCCATGCAAAGATAGGGAGCAAATACATTAGCACTGATGCCGTGTTTTCAGTTTTAGAGTCCCCAAATAAAGTGGCAGCCCTGTCAATGTATTTGCTCCCTATCGTTGCATAGAAATTTTGTCTTAAATAGAGGGGGACTCTCAGGATAGTGTGTGATATCCCCGGCCATTTTGGCCTCAACTTGAGAGCCTTTTTTGAGCTTGGGAGTTGATTTCAGAGAAAACCAGTGGGACCATCGTGTTTCTCGCCAATTTTTACATAAGAATCAACAGTCAAATCGCGATTAAATTCCTCACACATGTAACATCTCCATTCGAGTGTCATTCCAAAATGAAATTTTAATTGCTGTAAGTAGAGATCGCATCATGGAATAACTGAAATTTCTTCAGAAGCAACGGCCGATGAATAACTTTTTAAACGAGAGAGTAAAAACTCTAAAATTTTGGAAAGCCAATTCTATACAGAAATGTTTAAAATTTATATTTTAGAAAACTTTTCCATTCTTCGGTTACATTATAAACAACATCCTCTACGCACGAATAGTTGGGAGGGTTTGGATTCAATCGACCATGAATCGATCGAAAAATAAGCTTCCTTATTTCTCATTCTAGGGGCTTTGGCTTTAGGTTACTATCCAGGTCCAGTAGATGGCGCCAAAGAAGCATGGCTACACGATCGGCGTGGACGTGGGGACGGGAAGCGTACGGGCCGCCCTTATGACCCTTCAGGGCGACTTCATCAAAGGCGCTGTCAAGGAAATTGGAACCTGGCGCCCGCGCGGTTTCCCGGACTTTTATCAACAGTCCAGCACCGATGTATGGCAAGCGGTCTGCAATGCCGTTCGGGTAATCACCTGAATCATGATTTTCAAAAGTGTTTCGTCCCTGTACGGAAAAAGTATCACATGCTTTATTTCTGTAAGGTATGAATGAGAGCGCAGTTGGGTTGGTAATTCGTTGGTAGATACGTTTTTGGACCGCGTTAAACAGAAAGAAACGAAGCCACATCAGCTATTGCCAAATTTAATCGGGCAATTTATTTTTTTGCGTGAAAACGGTTTTGCGGATTTGTGTGCAAATTTCAATGAATTTTCTCCATAATACAAAGCAAATTCTTTAAAATTTTCAAAGGAATCTGCACAAACGTTCTCTCGTAAAAAATCAAATTTCCCTGTTAAATTTGGCAATAGCTGATGTAGCTTGGTTCATTTCTGTTTAACGCGGTCCATTTAAAGGTGCTTTTGTGTGGGTCATTAACACCTTAGTGAGGGATCAAAATAGTGCAGTGCAGAATTTAAAAAATTTAAGAAGTAGGGGTTACAAAAGGGTAATACACAAAATTAAAAGATAGGACGAGGATTACATTAAAGACGATTAATTCGTTTGAAAAAGAGAGGGATTTAATGAAAGAACTTTTAAAGGGTGTGCATTCTGTGAGGTATGAATGAGAGTGTGAATGGAGTGCTAAAGAAAGATTGTTAAGTAATTAATCTAAAAACTTATATGTTTTAATATCTCTTTTTTAAAAAAAAGGCAGAGAATTTTATTATTCCCGTTTTTTCGATACCTAATGATTTTATTACCTAACGTCACTCTGTTTTAATGAAATTAGTTTACTTTTAAATCATGGTGATGGATACAAAAAATATTCTCGTCGTAAATACTAAAATAAAATTTCTTCGAGGAAAAAAACTGCTTTATTTTTGATCGAGATCGGGTCATGGCGCTGAGATATATTGTGCCGTGCTAGGGAAAAACGCCGCGCCGTATGGGCCTTCAGAAGTTGCAAAATTCCCTCTGTTAAAGTACGAATTTTCAGGGAAATCTGTGAGTATTTGCCCTCCAATACTTCATAGAATTTAATTCGTAATTGGATTTACATTATCTGAAAAGTTCGAGAGGAAATACTCAGAGCTCTTCCTAAAAATAAAATTTTTTTTGGAGAAACTTTGGCAACTCTCGAATCCTCTTACGGCGTTTTTCCTTAGGGTCAGGCATTCCACATCGGGAGGGTTGCTGGGACTCTAGCCCCGGGGCCCGGGGCCTGGGGNNNGGGGGGGGGGGGGGCACGGTAGGGCCTCCCGGAAGCACAAAAGTTCCCATTTGTATTACCAATCTGCCGGCGAAAGTAAAATAATTTTGTTGATTGAGATTTTGCTCGAGGTCCAGACAAGCTTGCGCCGGCCCTTGGGATAGGCTATCCTTTGCCAAAACTTTTTCCCCATCTAATTTCAGACGTATATTTTTTTTGTGCAATAAGCTGAATTTTCCATATGTTTTTATCCATTCAATTTTCCTTTTCTTTCATCAAAGTTAAAATTTTACCCAAGACAGAACTGATTCAATGGTTCACTTCAGGCATTAAAGACCTTTTAAGTTTAAAATGCTTTTTTTTCTCTAAATATATATGTATAGAAGAAATTTTTTTCTATAAATATGTATAGAAAAAAATTATACGTCTAGTGATGTTTTTTTTCATAGCGGCTCATTACAAATCTTCAAACAACTGCAATTATTCTGATATTTTGAAAGGGCAAAAATCTTACATGAACTAATCTGAATAAGTGCGGAAATAGCATGAAATTACTCAGATTAGAGGCAAAATTTTAAAAAAATTTCGGGGTGGCCCCCAACCCCCCTCCTGCTGGGGGCGGTCCCCCAGACGCCCCTTAGATAGTTTACTAAAAAGGGGCCCCGCTGACAGATCCGACCGCGCCCCCCCCCCATAACTCGAAAACGGTTCCTATAATCATCTTGAAATTTTTTCCTGAGTTTTCTGTTATTGTAGCTTCCACTTAAACCTTGGTTCGATGGTCGAATCGAATACCGGAAAAGGGGCGAAATTTTGGGAGGCTATTTTTTTATACATAGGTAATTTTTACCTCCTTTAGTTCTTGAGAAAAAAATTTTAGCTGCAAAAAAGAATTCTGTAACTATCAACTTAAGGCCTCTGAATAAATACAGACCTGACGTTCCTTTCTGTCCCGCAGGATATCACTTACACAATTGACGTAAAGATGGTGAAAGGAATCGGTTTTGATGGAACATGTTCCCTTGTTGTTCTTGACAAGAAATCGAACCCCCTATCGGTCAGTCCCAACGGTGAGTTTTATAATATTAGCACAACATGTATGAATATACATAATGTACCTTGGTAAAAGTGTAATGGGCAACTAGACAAAGTAAAAATTTAAGCATTGATATATATTTTTCTCCTTTAAAATTGTACATAAAACACGATTTGCGCAACAAAAATTTCTGTGATCAACTCCCCACTAAGATATTAACGTATTTATTTAGCATTGGAGACGAAAAATTTGAATTTTCCGCTCATAAAAAAACTAGAGTCTACTTGCATGAGAATCACATCGCGCACTTTAGCAGTTTTGACATACTTCGCAATCAGCAGTGGTTTCATCCCCACCCTGTCTCATTCAAAGTGTAAACAATAGCTGAGCCGCAGTGCTGATGTTGAGGTTGTCATATTTTCATACTGCAAAGACTGCCGTAATGTAACGTTCAAAGTGCGATTTAACTCAAATGGATTTTTTTTCTCTCTTTTTTTTCTTTTCTCTTCTTTTTTTTTAAATGAGCGGAAAGTTAGAATTTATGCGTTAGGGAAAAAATGTTAAAATCTTGATTACGAGTTGCTTCCAGTAAACTTTGTCATGCAAATCGTATTTTACGTGAAATATTGACGATAAAAATTATATCCCAATACTTGAATTAGTACCTTGTCCGGTGGTTTATACATCTATTGTCGGGCAGGTGCGAGGCAAAGCGTAAAGTATCTTGAAACATTGAAGGCGCTCCGAGCCGAGATGGTTCTTTCTGACGTAGATATTCGCAAGTCGCGTGCAACTCTGCCGTGATATCGAAGAGAGCAGCAAATGCAAAAATGAAGTTTTGAGAAAACGGGCTCAGAAACTTCTGACAAGAACATTTTATTGAAAGAAGCCTCCGTTCTTTGTCAAATTGCCACTAATCGTCCGGAAGACTCCTAGAAATCGAGTGGATGATTAAAAATCGACTGATTTTATTTCCATTACATAAAAAGGGTATTCTTCATTTTCATGCCAGGTTAATATTTGGCAAGACAGCCGTAAGTTCTATCTTCAGCATGCTTTCGTGGTTGCGTTTTGGACGCACAACAAACACATTTTCAGGTTAGAAATTGGCAGAAGAGGGCGGTACTTTACTGGAAAGCACTGTTTTCATTGGCTCTCATGCTCCTACGGCTGTCTTGAAAAAAACTATGTCATTTTTTGTGTACTTACGGCTTTTTCATACATCTCGTTTTCATTAAAGTAGGATACATTTTGCTGCTTTAGTTTGTCTCAGTAATTTCATCTAAAAGAGTTCAGACGGATTTTGAAGAAAACTCGATTTCGAAAATTTTGCACTTACACGGCTCTCCTTGCTATCACGGCAGAACTTGCTACTGATTGCCAGGGTCGGGTATCAAGGCTGCCGTACCAAGGAAGAACGCCGTATGAACATTCAAGAGTTGCCATATTTCCTTCGGAAAACTGTTTATTTCTGAGGAAAGTTATACATATTTTCCCCTGAAATTTTCAGGACTTTTTAGTGGAATTGCGAGAAAAACTGTAAGAAAAATTGGAAGAAAATTACTCATACATTTACAGGGAAATTCGTGTTTTATAAATGGAAATTTGGCAACTCCTGAATGGTTTATACGGCGTTCTTCCTTGGCACGGCAGAATGGCCAAAGTGCAAAACCACGTATTTCCGCGGACATACGTGCGGGACGGAGTTTGCAAAGTCTCGACGTTACAAACTCCCTCTCGTACTTTATTTTCTCCTTGGAAAACTGATCGACCTAATTTCTTCAAAACTTCCTTAATTTTTCATCTTTGTCACCAGGATTTATTTTACATAAATGAAATTCAAGCTATAAGGTTGCCTTGCTTTTCTTCGAGAAATTGAAAGGGGAGCGGAGATTTTGAAACATCGCAATCATGATAGATGGATCGCATTTGGACGTATTTCTATCAAACGGACCTAAGTGCCATAGGGTGAGGAAGGTAGAGGGGAGCTTGGATTGGCGGCGGAATCAGGCGTCCGGCTTATTCCGTCCTATACTCGCAATGCTTTTCCATGGCGCTTAGGTCCGTTTGACAGAACGCGCTATCCGGGATTCTAAATTCCTCAAAAGGAACTCAAATTGGCGCTTAGTTCCGTTTGTTAGAAATACGTCCATTTGGCCAAAAGAAACCAGCGCAATTACAGCGTTTTCAAAATTGTACAACTTCTTTTTTCCTTTTAAAAATACAACATATATGTACAATATTGTACAGTATTAAAATTTACACAATAATTTTCCTTTGAAATTAACAATTTTTTTGCTGAGGGAAAAAACCTTTTTGCTATTCTGGCGTGCTAAGGAAAAACTCCGTATGAACCTTCAGGCGTTGCCGAATTTCCTTCGGAAAATCGAGCATTTTCGGGGAAATTTGTGAATATTTTTTTCCAATTTTTCAGATAACTTTGTTTGCAATTTTACTTACAGCTCCTGAAAATTTGAAGGCAAAATATTCCTAGCTTCCCTCAAAAATGAGCATTTTATCGAAGGAAATTTTGCAACTCTCGAACGTTCATACGGCGTTTTCCTTAGCACGGCAGTATTCCGGGAGGTTTTTTTTAAAGATAATTATGAGTAAAGAAGCAACACTGTAATCGCGCTGGTCCTTTTTCTAAATGCGATCCAGATGGTGTCGCACTAACGCCTTGTCTCCACGGGACGTTTCACGGGATTTTTCCCAAGTTAGAATCGCAGGAATGAAACTTCTGGGCTTTACTCCCGTTGAAAAACACAACAAAATGTCTTCTTCTTATTTTTAGGTCGTTCCTGTGACTCCTTAATGACTCTTAGTTGGCACTGTGATTAGTATTAACTAACTCAATATTTCTCCCAACCTCGCAAATGAGATTTTTCCCTGGGATGAATCCCATGAATTGTACCGTGGAGACAAGACCTTAGGCCACCGATATTATTCCCTCGTGTCTCATTTTAGTCGCACAGTGGATCGAGTCAATTGCAAAGGTCGGACATGCAATTTTGGACTAAAACTGAAAATGTTGATGTTTTTTCGTCTTATTTTGAATGGACCACTAGACAAGGTACGAATTTCAGCATTCTGATACATGTTTCGTAACGAAAATTTCACGTAGAACACGATGCGCACATAGAAAATTACCAAAATTAACTCCTTACGAAGATATTTGATGATTCTTGATGCGTGAATTCAAACCACCCGCTCATTAAAACTCAATGCTCTACGTGATTCACATCGCGCGCTAAACGTTTATCATGACAGTCTCTGCGATGTAAAAGTCAGGCAACCGCGATCTTGACGCTTTGGCTCAGCTATAGCAAATTGCTTATAGTTTGAACAACACATGATGGGATATGAACACTGCTCGATTTAGAGGCTCGCAGAAACCGTTGTAGTGCGCGATTTGACTCGCGTAGAGCTTTGAGTTTCTTGTGAGCGGGCAGTTCAAATTCCTCGTAACCAATGTGCAATAAAAACGTTAATATCTTCGTTAGGAGTTGGTTTCCGTAATTTTCGTTGTGTGAATCGTTTTCTACGTGAAATTATGGTTAAGAAACATGTATCAAATCGCTTAAATTCGTACCTTGTCTAATGGTCCATTTTGGACTAAAACTGAAAATGTTGATGTTTTTGCGTCTTATTTTGAATTATAAAGGGTGAATTCAGAAGATAATTTCACGAGGAAACCAAAGGAGCCATTTTTAAAATCTCAAAGTTTTGTATAAACGGAGTTATAAGCTTTTAAAAGTTCCAAATTTTGTCCGAGCTCTCTTATTGACTCGATCCCCTGTGCGTCGTTCGATTAGACTTTTCGCCGTAATCCGCACGAAGCAACGTAACTTCATTTCAAGGTTGCCAAATTGACTCAACAATTAATTTATTTTAGAAAGTTGCATCTATGCAGTTTTCATCAAAATTCGTCATGATTTTTGCATGAAATCTAAGGAAAAATCAGTGAAATTTCCAGTTCGAATGGAGAATTTGCACGCAATTTTTTTATTGCTTCATCTGAAAGTGCCTAATGAGCTGAGTTCGCAATATTTTTCATAATTTTTTTCTGACATGGGAAATTGGAGAAAAATTGATTTAAAAGTGAGAAAATGTGCCGCCTTGTGACGTCATCTGGCGGCATTTCCCATTTAAACACATGTATTTTAGCAGAATCGGTTATTTTGTCATATCTTCTCTAATAATTGCTCAATTTATGAATCAAGGGTATCTTCGTGTTCAGTTCACTCAGAGGATTCCACTTAAACAGGAAATTCATCAAATTTCAGACCCTTGCAAATTCTCCATTGCCCAAAAATGTTCCTGTTCAATATGCAATTTACGAGGGAAGATTTGGCAACATTAGAATGGAGTTACGTCCCTTCGTGAGAGAAACGACGTTTTCATGCAATTTTTCGATTTCGACATGCATCGTAGGCGAACCGGATCAGAACGTAATCCTGTGGATGGACCACAGAGCGGTGGGCGAGACAGAGCTGATCAACAAACTGCACCACGCTGTCCTCCAGACCCTCGGGGGGAAGATGTCCCCCGAAATGGCCACCCCGAAACTCATGTGGTTGAAGAGGCAGATGTTCGTCAAGTGTTGGACGCAGGCCGGCCATTTCTTCGAGCTGCCAGACTTCCTCACTTGGAGAGCCACCGGAGCTTTTTCCAGGTCGGTTTTTGATAATGATGTTAATAGATCTCTAGAACTTGCGTCAGTCAATTGTACAGAAAATCAGTAGCATTATTCAGGTAATACCTCACCACTTTGGGTCCTTCCACAAATGGACCGCGTTAAACAGAGAGGAACCAAGCCACATCAGCTATCGCGAAATTTCATTGGGCAATTTAATTTTACACATGAAAACGGTTGTGCGGATTTTGGTACAAATTTCAGTGAATTTTTTCTACAGTGTGAACCAAATTTCTTAAAATTTTCAAAGGAATCCGCACAAACGTTCTCTTGTAAACAAATTAAATTGCCCAGTTAAATTTGGCGATAGCTGATGTGGCTTGGTTCCTTTCTGTTAATAACGCGGTCCAAATTACGTCTCACCCATCCATGGGAGGGGAAGGGGGGTGTCCTGGAAGTGAGTAATATGTATGTGACAAAGGCGGAGGGATAGGTCAAAAAGTGGGGGAAATGGGTGACGTAATTTATGGTCGGCTTGATTAATTGATAATTTCTGGATTATAATTTTTTTACAGGGTCAATTTCCTGAATTTTTAAACATTCTCAGCCAAATGATACAAAATTAACACATCTGGACTTTGGTATAATTATATACTTTTTCTTCCACCAGCGGGCCGATTATTGAAATTGATAGACAAAGCGATAGACAAAGAAGACAAAAGGGACATGGAGGGATCCTATTGGTGCAAACGGGTGGTTGCAATGGACAAAGGTAGTAGGTAATAGAGTAACTAACGGCAACCCACGAGAAACCCGATAGTTAGCCCATCATTTTCTCCCTCCGTCTACAGGGACCGCACATTTCAACCAATAGGATCGCTCCATGCTCCTTGTGTCCTTTTTGTCTATCGCTTCGTCTATCAATTTCAATAATCAGCCCGCTGAGAGCCCATTTTTGCCTGACTGTGTTACAACATCTATCACATCTGTTAGGAGCTTGAGAGTTATTATTTTCAGCAGAATTAGTGGCATCATCGTGCTTTTTACAAAATTTAACTCGGAGACATTAGATTGACCTTTTAAATTCACCTACTCTACAAGGGGCCTCACCGTCTTTATCCTCTATTATTGATTATATGAGGGGCTTTGAGGACAAGGCGCATTAAGTGCAGTTTTTGAAAAAATTGAGATATTAATTATTTCAAGTAATGCTAGTCTTAATGCATACGCTGTGAAAAATTAGCTCCCTAATTTCAATTTTTAAGCATCAAAAAGTCAGTTTTCTCCTCCGCCATAAAGATTCATGTGATTTCGAAACTTCAAACACGACTTTCTCGAAATAGCAAAAACTGCGCTTGTGGACCTTGTTCTCCATGCCTATCATATACACCTCGTTTTCCTCTAGAAGCAGGGCCGGATTAAGGGGGTGGCAACATGGGCCGCGGCCCATGGCGGCAAATCTATAGGGGGCGGGAAATTTTGAAATTTTTTTTTAAATGTAGGTATAGAAAATTCGAATTAAGAACAAAAATTACAAGGGAGAAAAAGCAACAAAATCTCTAATTTTCTGAGAGTATAGTAATTTCTACTTTTGTCGTCTTTCAGTGATACAAGAGACAGCACCTTTAATTAGTCGAGTTACCTAAGAGAGAAACCAAACACACAATTTGGCCTGGAACAGCGCGACTTAGAGAGAAACGATGACGAGGACTTGAGATGAAAAGGAGAAGCCCTCGGCGCGGCGATTGGCATATAACACATATTAGCCCCTACATGACTGCACAAATACTTCACGCATTGCGGCAAACAGTGCGATCAGCGTGAAACGCATAGCGCCAACATGACTGTCGGAATACTTCACGCATTGCACCAAACACGGTGCGGTCTGCGCGGCGCGGCGACGGAAGTTAAAATCATTAATCCACATTTATGTTTGTTCTTTCATCATTTTTCTGTTCATTTCTTATGAATGGAAGGCCTTGTCCACACAGAGATAGGTTTACGAGACTTAACTTTCGCGCAAAGTTCCGTGAACTTTTGCTGGTAATGTTGACAGGGCTTTCCCAAAAAATGTGTTCAACACAAATAAACGCGTCTTAGGCCGCACTATTTTGTTCAAAGTAAGATCAGAATGTAGTGCCACCATTCATCATTTCCTGCCACAGGAAATATTTCTGCCAAGTTTTCATTTTAAAATTAAGCTGATTAATGAGTTTAAGACTGATGGCTCCCGTCACTTTGATGGTAATGGAGATGTTGCATGTGTGAGGAATGTGCAATTTGACCGTTGATTCTTATGTAAAAGTTCGCGAGAAACACGATGGTGCCTCTGGTATTCTCTGAAATCAACTCCTAAGCTCAAAAAAAGCTCTCAAGTTGAGGCCAAAATGGAGGGGATATCCCACGCTATGCTATGAGAGTCCACCTCTACATCAAGACAAACTCTCCATGCAAAGATAGGGAGCAAATACATTGGCAGTGATGCCGTGTTTTCAGTTTTGGAGTCCCCGAATAAAGTGGCAGCCCTGTCAATGTATTTGCTCCCTATCTTTGCATGGAGAGTTTGTCTTGATGTAGAGGTGGACTCTCAGGATAGCGTGGGATGTCCCCTCCATTTTGGCCTCGACTTGAGAGCTTTTTTTGAGCTTGGGAGTTGATTTCAGAGGAAACCAGTGGCACCATCGTATTTCTCGCGAACTTTCTCGTAAGAATCAACAGTCAAATCGCAATGAAATTCCTCACACATACAACATCTCCATTGGTTCGGGAATTTGATCGTCTATCGAGACCTTTATACCGTCGACGTGTCCTTCCTGCTGATTCTAGATCTTCGTGCACAATGACTTGTGCTTGGACTTATCAGATAGACGCCAATGAGAAGAAAGGGTGGAATATCGACTTTTTCAGGCAACTTGGACTTGAGGATCTTGCCGAAAATAATTGGGAGAAAATAGGTAGGAACTAAAATTTATATACAACATGCCACTTGGCCGTATTCATGCCAAAAGGAACGATGTGCACCAGTGGCGTGGCGTGAATTGTGATACATCGATTGTTACGCCATTTAAACCTATGGTGAAGAATCGATTTTTAAGGTGTTCGCTGCGAACACCTTGTTTATCGATCCTTTTCCATAGGTTTAAATGGCGTAACAATCGATACATCGCAATTCACGCTACGCCACTGATGTGCACAAGGTTTGCGTGCAACACAGTTCCTTCCCAGTAGCAGAGATCGTGATGAATAGCGATTTTATCGGTTGCTTATCGCGATTATATCGGTGGCAATATATCGAGATATTATCGCATTAAAAATCGCGATACATGGCGATTAAATTGCTACAAATCGCAATTTTTGGCTCGATTAATCGTGGTCAATTTTTGTCGGTAAAATCTAGAGTACCTGTATAGCGAGAGTATGGACAGATCGCTTCATGGAGGGCTTAGGGCCCAACAGTGCAGCCACCCTTCTAACCAACTTCCAACACACAAAATTTCACTGCCAGTCTGCAGATTCTATTTCTAACCAAGATGGCCAAGAATGTACAGAAATGAGCGTTCCTCCGCAAAATTGAGTAAATTTATGCAAAAACTGAGTCAAACACGTGCTTAATAAACAACGGTTCGTAACAATAGTATTAGTAAATCGTTCTGGATAATTGAAATTCATAGGTTGGCTGCATTTCTGGGCCCTAACTCTATTCGCAGAAGCATCGATGAAGGCCTGATGGATTTTCGGAGTTTCACATATGTCCATACTCTCCATAGAACTCTCGCTATACAGGTACTCTAGTAAAATCGAGATTAAATCGCCATTTATCGCGATTTTTATTTCGAAAATATCGGGAAAAATTGTCGGGCGATAAAGACGCGATTTTATCGCGATGAGATCGAGGATAATCGCTAATAAGTTGATGATCCTGGCGATTTATCGCCGATAACCGAATACCGATATCGATACCGCCGATACCGATCTTCAGCGTGGTCGGAATTCGGGATCTGAAGAGATACAGTATGAGCGAGCTCATTTTGATACTATACTCGTGTGGGGTCGGCAACCCCCCTCCCCCCCCCAAAAAAAAAAGCCACTTAATCGTTTGCAGCTTCTGTAATTTGAAGAGAAAAAGGCAAAAATTATTCGCAAGAATTTTGTTACTTACACATTGATCATGGTCAATCTTGTGCGAGTAAAGTGTGAGGAAAGGATGGTTTTTTTAACCATCTCTCTAGCTGATTTTGTTAACCAAAGACCAAGACCAAGATGTTGTACCGTCTGTTTTTTTTTGGCACCAATGCCCCAAGGGAATGGTCAGACAATAAACATACTGTCCTCTTCTTTTCGTGATACTCACGCCAAATAAAGTATAAAGTCGTCGACTTAATTGTATGGCTGTATCTCAATTTTAACGTTTCAAAATGTCCACGCACACTTCATTTGCAGAGGGAACACAATTTAATAGATTAATTGAAATTGTCTTCATCATTACAATTTTAACATTTCGTAATCATCCTGGAAACTTTCAAGGAATCCAATAATCGTTTTTTTTTCCTGAAAAGAAAAAAAAATGAAGTATACGCAGTCGTTCTAAAGAGTCGCAACTGAGAGACGAACCGAACGTAACCAGTAATTGGACTGAATTTTGCAATTATTAGGAATTACGATCTCTGGCTAAGTTTAGAAACAACATAAGCGCCAATAGTTTCCCTGTGAACATAAGTGTTTTTACGGATATGCTAAAAATTGTAGTTCCTAATTGCGATATGCGGCTCAGCTACATTTCTCCGATGAACTGTAATGCACATAACAATTCTTTCTCTACAGGTTCTGAAATTTTAGCGCCGGGTGAGCCTTGCGGAAAAGGCTTAACCAAACAAGCTGCCTCCGAGATGGGCTTGTTGGAAGGGATACCAGTTGCCACCTCGACCATCGATGGAAATGCGGGAGCCATCGGAATGATCTGTGTCAAAGAAAAGATCGATGCAGCATCGCTCTCGTTAGACTCTGTGCTCTGTAAGTCATTCTTAGAGTACACTTCACACTGAAAAAAAATTCTCGGCGTTTTTACCAAGGTCCGTTGGTATCTTTACCATCTCATTTTTTTACCAATTATTGGTAATTTTACCAAGACAGACTAGTAAGCTCACCTAAGAACCGGTATTTTTACTGTTTTTTTCAGGTAAAAATACCGCTTTTATTGGTAATCAATTCCCGGTAACTTTGCCATTTTATCTGGGTAATTCTACCGCAGTCGATAAAAAATATTGGCGTTTTTACCAAGGTCCAGTAAAATTACCGAGAAAGTTCAATAATTTTACCGAGATTTCTCGGTAAAATTACCAATTTCATAAATGGTAATTTTACCAAGAAAAAACTGGGATCAAATAGAACCCTGAATTCTTAGTAATTTTACCCTTTTCTTAGTGAATACATCGAGATTTTATTTTCAGTGATAGAGTATACTTCAGCAACTTTTGCCTTCATTTCTCAAAGTAGACAACGTGGAGCACTATATTTGCCGAGGGAGCAGGGGCGGACTGGAAGTCGAAAAGTTAGGAGGCGACCTAGATTTTGGGGGCCCCTCCTGTCGTTCGGGGGCCCTCTAAGGAGATCCGGGGGCCCTCCCCCGGAAAATGTGGAAAATTACACACTTTTTAAACGCAATTTTATGCATTATTGGAGTCAAATTCTACAGTATTTGAACTTCAAAATAACCCATTCTCAGGATTCTTCGGGGGCCCCTTCATCACAAAAGCTTTGGACGACCTTTCATGTCACTTAGAGACAAATTTTCAAGGATTTTGGGACCTTTTAGTGACTGAATAGGATAACAAAATTACAACATTACAGGGGTAAAACCATAACTCGAAAAAAATTCGCCGCGGGGGCCCCATCGGGACCTCCGTGGCAAATTGTTAGGAGGCGATCGCCTCCCCGCCCCCATGGCCAGTCCGCCCCTGCGAGGGAGTGATATGCAAATCGCACTGAAAAAAAAATCTCGGTGTATTTACTAAGAAAAGGGCAAAATTACCAAGAATTCAGGGTTCTATTTGATCCCAGTTTTTTCTTCGTAAAATACCATCTATTGAATTGGTAATTTTACCGAGAAATCTCGGTAAAATTATTGAACTTTCTCGGCAATTTTACTGGACCTTGGTAAAAACGAAAATATTTTTTATCGACTGTGGTAGAATTGCTGAGATAAAATGGCAAAGTTACCGGGAATTGATTACCAATAAAAGTGGTATTCTTACCTGAAAAAGACAGTAAAATTACCGGTTCTTAGGTAAGCTTACCAGTCTCTCTTGGTAAAATTACCAATAATTAGTAAAAAAAGTGAGATGGTAAAGGTACCAACGGACCTTGGTGAAAACGCCGAGAATGTTTTTTCAGTGCGCTTGCGTAACAGTCTAATAGCAAACAGTTATCAGTTTCTGATTGAGAAAATACATTGAAACTGGGCATCCCTCTTTGTCGCTACTCGGCCATACCCCATCCCCCTTCTTTTGCGGTCCGCGATTGAAAACCTGAGTCATGATGCAAAAAATTGAAGGAGAAAAACTAGCTCAAATGGAGATGTCTCCAGCCGATGCTCGGAAAATTATTGGAATCAGTCCAATAGACTTCTAGATATAATTTTGACGAAAAATGGGAAATTTCGGTTGTTCGAAATCATAATTTTATGTGATGGAGTCAGGCAAATGAATCCTTTTGGGAAGGTAAAATGAAGTTAGTTATAACTATACCACAGCAGAGACGGGTTAATTCTGCATCATACGGCAAAAATAACTCCATAAAAATTCCAAAAACTGACCCCTGATTACATTTTAAGTTATAGAGAATGATCTATCGAAGGCCGCGGAAAGCGAGGCCAAAAAATTAGATAATTTTCAACTAGTAAAAAATTGGAACATTAACGAGTTTAACCCTAGTCTGCCTGAGTGGGGTCAGATTGACCCCACGGGAGTTTCAACTCTTTGCCATTTCTCGTGGTATGCACGAAATTTTTTGTCCTTCACAAATAGCTCTACAAAAACTTCTAGGAACACGATTTTGAAGGGGGGAAAAAAAAATGTGCATGAGAGATCAAAAAATTCACGAGTACCCCTAGAAAGCCTGAGCGGGGTCAGATATCCTTATAACATATATTTTACCATTTAGCATCACAAAAGCTTACTTTGAAGGTGTATTCATTTTTCTCTTTTTAATTATTTTCAGAAACTTATGAAACAAGCAACATTTTTCAGATTTTTTTCGTTTTCAGTATTTAGTAGCCCTATGATTTTTTTTTCTCATGCTGAGAACAACATGGGAACATGTGTATGATAAAATGGTTGCATACCCTGCGCCGTGTTTTTTAAAACTTAGATATGCTTTATGGTTTAGGCCTGTAAGGTTAGTGCACTGATATTAACTAAGAACATGAAAAAAACATAGCTAACTAATTGATTTTCAGCTGGGGTCAAATTGACCCCGCTCAGACTTTCTCGTTGGTTCAGAGGCTCAGGCAGACTAGGGTTAAGTACTTGTCTGAGGGAGAAAAGTGTTTAACTTCCATAGACGATGCATTGGAACACTCTTGTGAAACTTCGACTCTAATTGGAATAATTGGGCGTATATTTACGTCAAACGGAACTATGTGCATTAAAACATGAGTTCTGAGACCCATAAGAATGTATGCATAACAGGGCGCACGTCGCAATGCACATAGTTTCGTTTGGCAGAAATACGTCCAATTTGACCATGATTGAAAATTTTTAAATTTCTTGGCCTTGTTTTCCTCGAAAAATAGTGAGTACCTAGCACTACCCTATCGTCACCTCGTTACATACAGTTCGGGGCATATTTGGAAGTCTTTATGCTAAAAGGAACTATGTGCAAGTGGAAAGATGGGGGTGTGCTCGTGCAAACTGCATAAGAAACAATGTAGAAGTGGATATAGTTCCTTTTGAGAAAATGGAAAAGCGGGATTCTGCATTGAATCAAAAGGAATTGAGCGCTAACTCGTGAGCCGTGGGCATGTGACAAGAGCGTTGTGAACAGGGCTCATGAGTTGAAGAGTCCCGCCACCGATCTCCCCGTCGTCGTGCCCCGGCTCGATCGTTGCCGCTGACGTCACTGGCGGTTTTACATTCCCATTCATTCTTATGGCTCTCAACTAACGAGCACACCCCATCTTTTCACTTGCGCATAGTTCATTCCATTTAGCATAAATACGTCCTTGTCACACACAGTTCGGGCCACATTTCGACGGTGAAACTACCAAACCACGTATCTCGGTTTGCGACGTCGCAGACTTCCTGTCATACTTTATTTTTTAAATAGAAAACTACTCAACGTCAATTTGTGAAAATTTCCGTGATTTTTCCTCTTTGTGTGGAGAAAAATCGGTGAAAATTGTAAGGAATTATATTGATTTGATCTCCTTCAAAAAAATAAAATGTGAGTGGAGATTTTTAAACACCGCAAACGAGATACGTGGTTTGGTAGTTTCACCGTCGATTTTCAGTGTTTTTTATCTTGCCTATCGGGAAATTTTGCAGGTTTGGTCTCCGGGACTTCGAACTGCCACTTGTTCCTCTCAGATCGAGCTGTGTATGTAAACGGGCTCTGGGGTCCGTTTTACAACGCGGTGGTGCCCGGCATGTACGTCAATGAAGGCGGACAGTCAGCAAGCGGATCTCTCTTGGATTTCATCATAGAGACCCACGAGGCCTACCCCAAAATAAGGGCCAAACTCACGTCCGTCACGTAGGTCCATTATTCTTGAACGTTGATGGGGACGCATTAATCAGGGGAGTGATTTTTTTCAAGCTGATGTGATTTTCGACGGAGACCATATCGACGGTGAAACTACCAAACCACGTATCTCGGTTTGCGACGTCGCAGACTTCCTGTCATACTTTATTTTTTAAATGAAAAACTACTTAACATCTAGTCTTGAAAATGTTTGTGATTTTTCCTCTTTGTGCGGAGAAAATTCCGTGAAAATTTCAAGGAATGATATTGATTTGGTCTACTTCAAAAAAATAAAATGTGAGCGTAGATTTTTGAACACCGCAAACGAGATACGTGGTTTGGTAGTTTCACCGTCGATATTCTAGTATCCCAAAGATCACTGCAGAATAGTATAAATGAGATATGGTAGATGCTCCGCAGCTCGCGACAAGATATACAGTAAAAAAACAATTATTTAGAAAGCGGGTGGCAAGGCTAGAAGTTCACACACACTGGAAAAAAAACACATTGGATCTAGAGCCAGACTCTTGAAAACATTGACAAGAAAAAATACTCTTGATTCAATCAGATTTTTGCTTAAATCAAAAGGAAATCCGCTCAAATTAAGAGGCTTGGTTCTTTATTTTGACTGCGTTAAGCAGAAAGGAACCAAGCCACATCAGCTATTGCCAAATTTAATAGAGCAATTTAATTTTTTACGAGAGAACGTTTTGGCGGATTCCTTTGACATTTTTGAGGAATTTGCCTCGTACTACGCAGGAAATTCACTGAAATTCGCAGAAAAATCCGCAAAACCATTCTTGGGTAAAAAATTAAATTGCCCAATTAAATTTGGCAATAGCTGATGTGGCTTGGTTCCTTTCTGTTTAACGCGGTCTAGAGTCCCTTTATACTGAGAGTCAAGACAATTTGAATCCATTTCTGATTGGTTCCCGTATTTTAGGCAAAGACATAAAGACGGAGCGCTCGTATCTAAAAGCACGGGGAAAAAGTGAAGCTAGGTTCGGCGCTGCGCGCATGTGTGAGTGTGTAAATGAGCGCGGGAATCCATGGCGGCAAACGGAAATTTGATTTGAACTTGTCCTCTTGATTTTTGCACATTTCTTCTTTGAAACGTATTTTAAATTCCTAAAACGAATATACTAAGAAAGTTCGGTCTGCGTCCTAATATAATACACCTACTTTTGCTCGGTAACAGGCAGTAATCTCAGATAAAGTTAGTTTTTCTTCTGCTCATGGTGGTTCTGCAGGTTCAAACAGGCCGTTACAGTTCTAGATCAACGTTACTCTCAAATGAAATTAATCGGTCGACGACGGACTGAAACTAACCTAAAGTTAAAAAAATATGAGCGTGTACCTGAATTTGGGCAAAAATCAACCTAAAATACTTTGTTTCCGCAATTTTATTTATTAGTTCCCGCCCTACATTTGAATTCAAACTTGTCCCGATTTCGCCGCCAATCCTCTAGCCAAAAGTAGAGGTGATTGAAAAGAAGCTCTAGAAGCTTCATTTTTTGCTTTTAGTGCTCCGTCTTTATGTCTTTGATTTTAGGCCTCCACAGTTTCCCAAACGGGAATAAAGATTACATTTTCACCAATTGCAAATATTATAATCTGGAATGGACCAGGGAATTACGGGTTCGGCAAGGAACAAACGGAATGAGAGGAGGAACGGAGAAAGGCATTTGAGAATGGGCCGATCAAAGATTACGAAAAACGTTCAATTTCTGTAATCTTTATTCCCGTTTGTGACATCCATGAGCCGAATTGTCTTGACCCTCAGAGTAAAGGGACTCTAACGCGGTCCATTTAAGCAAAAATCCGATTGAATCAAGAGTATTTTTTTTGTCGATGTTTTTAAGAGTCTGGACTCCAGATCCAATGTGTGTTTTTTTTCCAGTGCACAAGACCAAAACGCGCGTTTCGGCTGAAAATTCAGCCAACCTCAGTTGGATAAATTTTGGGCCAATTTTGGAGATTTGGTTACTGGAACTTCAGTTATGCTCAAACGTCATGTATTCCTCGAGTTAAAAAAAGTATAAAAGAGGGGTATTGGTAAGGGCCATTGCATTGCTGCCGTGCCATTGGAGAACGCTGTATGAACATTCGAGAGTTGCCAAACTTTCTTCGATAAAATGTTTATTTTTGAGGCATGTTATGTATAATTTTCCTTGAAATTTTCAGGAACTTTATTTGAAATTGCGGACGAAATTATATGAAAAATTAGGAGAAAAATATTCATATCTAAACTTGGAGTTTCGTGTTCTTTCGAAGGAAATTTTCCATCTTATGAAGGTTCATACGGGGTTTTTCCTTATTAGCTCGGTAGATTGTGGGATCCACCCTGAATTTTCGCAGCTTTTCATTGAAAGCCTATGTTTTAGAGGATCATGATTCGGTCATTTTTGGTTTCTTACCAGGTCTAATACTGGCCTAAAAATGGGTCCGACGGCCAATTTTGGAGATTTGGTTACTGGAACTTTAGTTATGCTCGAGCGTTAAGTATTCTTCGAGTTAAAAAGTCGCTTTTTTCGTCCAAATCGGCCTTCAGACCCATGTTTAGGCCAGTACTAGTCATGGCAAAAGGCCGAAAATGACCAAATCATTATGTATTTTATAAAAAAATTGACTTTCAAAAAATCGTAGGTTGAGGAAATTCAGGCACGATAGGCCCAAAAAAGGCCCTTAACGACACTACCTCTTTTTAAATAAAAAGAAATGAGCAACGCTAAAACTTAAACTTTAATAAAAATTACGGATTCTCCGAGCCATCGTGGACCCCCTCCCCAACCTACACACACGAAAAATAAATATTTGTTATCATTAATATAAACTATTCGAAGGATTCAGACTTTCAGCGATTCTACCTTTTTCTATTTCACTCTAGAGGTTGCCAGATTGCGTGATAAATATGAATATGTTACAAGAATTTGATTTGAGAAAAGTGCTAAAAAAGCAACTTATCTGGCAACAATAGAGTCCGGGAGGGACGAAAAGCTGCCTTCCTAGGAAAACCCATGATTTAGCCGGAAATGTCATTAAAACAATTGATTCCGTTTGAAGCATCAATTATGTACTAGGGGAAAGCTATTTTAAAATAATAATTGTAAATGGACAAAGATGTTACAGAAAAGGAAAAAGGAAAGGGAAAGGAAATGAAATGAGGATATAATTACTAATATGCAATCAGAGAGAATAAAACAATAACATCAGAGAAATTTATATGCGATGAAAGTATAAGAGAAAAACACGAGTGGGCTCATTGCAATTCGGAACTCGAACTATACAATCGTTGAGCAGTTTTTAGACCCCTACGCCACCGATAATCTTCTTAAGAGGTAAAGATGAACTTTTGCTACTTCAGCAAGTCAAATCGCGGAAGGAGATCCATGGATTGTCTTTTTCCGCCACCCGATGGGATAACGTTCCAGTGAAATGCGTTTTTGAAGAAATGATCGATCCCCATCATCGCTTCATCTCCACACATCTATTCATGTGCAAATGATGACACGCTCCGGCAACAAGGTTCTGTGACCAAATAATGTTTTCCTCCAGAGTCTCAAAAATGTATACATCTTATTGTTAGTGATCAAATGTCCAAACACTGAAAAAAATGGCTCGCGGAGCGAGCCGAATGTCATTCGCGTAGCGAGTGATCGGGGGTCCAGGGGGCGCAGCCCCTTGGCTGGCAGTGACGGACGCGCAAAGCGCGTCCAGAACGGCTAGTAAAAAAAAGAATTACTAACTTCAAATAATTTTTAACTTGCAGGAATTTGCTTTTTTCGAATATTTACGACTACCTCAACAATCTCGTTGATAAGATTGCGCAGAGAAGGCAAATCCCTGTCGATGAGTTGACTCACAATATTCACGTCTGGCCTGATTTCCATGGCAACAGATCCCCGGAGGCGGATCCCTCACTTAGGGGAATGGTGAGTCACACTATGAAATAATTCGAGGGTCACTCCAAAATGACATTTTTATTGCTGTAAGTAGAGACCACAGCATGGAGTATAACTGCAATTTCTTCAGAAGCAACGGCCGATGAATAACTTTTTAAACGAGAGAGTAAAAACTCATACATTTTGGAAAGCCAATGGAGATGTTGCATGTGTGAGGAATTTGCGATTTGACCGTTGTTTCTTATGTAAAAGTTCGCGAGAAACACGATGGTGCCTCTGGTATTCTCTGAAATCAACTCCTAAGCTCAAAAAAAGCTCTCAAGTTGAGGCCAAAATGGAGGGGATATCTCACGCTATCCTGAGAGTCCACTTCTACATCAAAACAAACTCTCCATGCAAAGACATGGTACAAATACATTAGCAGTGACCAGTGATGCCGTGTTTTCAGTTTTGGAGTCCCCGAATAAAGTTGCAGCCCTGTCAATGTATTTGCTCCCTATCTTTGCATGGAGAGTTTGTCTTGATGTAGAGGTGGACTCTCAAGATAGCGTTGGATATCCCCTCCATTTTGGCCTCGACTTGAGAGCTTTTTTTGAGCTTGGGAGTTGATTTTAGAGGAAACCAGTGGCACCATCGTATTTCTCGCGAACTTTTACGTAAGAATCAACAGTCAAATCGCAATTAAATTCCTCACACATGCAACATCTCCATTCGAGTATCATTCCAAAATGAAATTTTTATTGCTGTAAGTAGAGATCGCATCATGGAATAACTGAAATTTCTTCAGAAGCAACGGCCGATGAATAACTTTTTAAACGAGAGAGTAAAAACTCAAAAATTTTGGAAATCCAATTCTACATATATAAAGAAATGTTTAAAATTTATATTTTAGAAAACTTTTTCTGAGAGCTCGTACTTTTTGAAACAGAATTGAAAGACTTGGATGACAAGGCGCATAAGTGCAGTTTTTGAAGAAATGGAGATATTAATGATTGAAGATAAAAGTATAGTCGTAATGCATATTCTGTGAAAAATCCGTTCCTAAATTCCAATTTTTAAGCATCAAAAAGTCAGTTGAAACCTTCTTTCCGTCATAAGGATCCGTGTGATTTTAAAACTTCAAATGCGTATCTCTCGACATAACAAACACTGTACTTTTGCGCCTTGTCCTTCAAGCCCCTCAATCCTAGAAATCTCAAAATGAAATAATCGCAATTTTCTTAGTAGCAACGTCTGATGAGAAACCTTCAAATAAAAAATTAAAAAGAATTAAGAAAATGTATGTTTTAGGATACTTTACCTAAGTATTATTAAAGCAGAATTCCTGAGTCCAATTGAATCGGGACGTGCGAAAAACCGCTAATGTCCATTTTTTCAGTCGTAAGTTTTCTTGAGTTCATAAAACTTTTCGGAGTTGGTTGCAACCACGAAATTGGCGTTAAAACTCGTCTCCGGGATTCCTTAATCCTGAAACGAGTCCTTTCATCACTTTTGTGGTTTTATCAACTCTTGAAAAGGATTATGAACTAAGAAAAACTTAAGACTGGAAAATGGACCATCCCGATTCAATTATGATTTTAACGGCCCATGCTGCGAATGAGGTGTATCTCAGATTCGGGAGAAAAGTTTAAAAAAAAAAAAAAAAAAAAAAAAAAAAAAAAAAAAAAAAAAAAAAAACAAGGCCCGGATACATCTCTCTTATCTTCGGCTGTGTTGCTCACCTAGCTCATGAGACACCACTACAATAAAGACAAACGAAACTGACGCGACGCGATGCAGCGTGAAAGTATAGAGCAAAGGAAAGGACGCGCATTGATGACGGCGCAGAGATACAACTATTCGTACTTGATGGATGTCCGTGTTGCGTCTGCGAAATTGAAGGCGCGATAGCGCGAGGCGTGAACTCGTGATGCTTATTGCTCCTTTTTATGCTGCCAATGAGGTGTTGCACAGTGGATCGAGTCAATTGGAGAGGTCGGAAATGACATTTTTGACTGAAACTGCAAATTCTGATGTCTATTTCGTCACATTTCAAATTTCAAGGGGTGCTTCTGGAAGAAAATTTCACGAGAAAACCAATGGAATCACTGTTAGAACCTCAAAGTTTCCTATAAACGGAGTTATAAGCGTTTAAAGTTTCCAAATTTTTTCCGATCTCTCCTATTGACTCAATCCACTCTTTTTCGGTCAGATTCGAGCGAAAAGTTATAAAACGAGACCCGATTTCATCTCTCCTATTTTCGGCTGCGATGACACACATTTTTTTTTTTCAATTTGGTGTATGATTCTTTTCTTAGGATGTTTTGATAGACGTGTGTCTAAAGACTCATATTTACTGGTCCCACAAACCGTGGGGCACGTGTTCAAAGCAAATCCGGGTCAGTTTGACCGGGCTCGGGCACCGAAGGGTTAAAATACTTTTCACTTATATTTTATCGCGGACGTGAATACTTTAGAGAACATCCGGAATGAGTTTTCTGAAACATAAATTACAATTGTTTTTCATAAGTTTATGAAAAGCGATTTTTAACAATCCTTGTTCCTAGGGTTGATGTAGCGGGTAAGTCACCTGCAAGAAGGAATTGCGATAAGGATTTGAGCATTTGGACGTATTTATGCTAAAAGGAACTATATGCATAGAGTTTGCGCGAGACATAGTTACTTTTTGGCATAAATACGTCTTTTTTAGCCCCATGTTAGAGCATTATATCGATGGCCTGAATGCGAATATATCTAATATATATCGACGGTGAAACTACCAAACCACGTATCTCGTTTCCGGTGTTTAAAAATCTACGCTCACATTTTATTTTTTTGAAGTACACCAAATCAATATCATTCCTTGAAATTTTCACGGAATTTTCTCAGCGCAAAAAGGGAAAATCACAAACATTTTCAAGACTGGATGTTAAGTAGTTTTTCATTTAAAAAATAAAGTATGACAGGAAGTCTGCGACGTCGCAAACCGAGATACGTGGTTTGGTAGTTTCACCGTCGATATATATCTATGCGAATACCTATAAATATCTCCGTTCGCGATGTTGCATACAGCTTGTCATACTTTAACTTTTCTTTAGTAAACTAGTCAATTTAATTGCTTGAAAACTTCCTTGATGTTCCTTCTTTATTAGCAGAATGCTCTGTAGGAAAAATCGATTTCCAGGCAGAATCAAAACCATTTTGACCACTTTAAATGACTCCTGGTCTTCCATATGTAATTTTTTTTTTTTAATCGCAATATTCTGAAAATGTCGCAACGCATTAAATATATTGCAGCATCTATACCTTAATCTACCCAAAATATTTGGTTTAGAATGCACGGTTAGATCGACTGATTCTAAGTTGCGCGAGTATAAGAGGACTAGATAAGATTGGCAGAGTCAAGAAGCCCCTTCAATTTTTGTGATACTGTACCGCGACAGTAGAGGACGAATAATTGCATACCTAGCGCCGTAAGTCTCGAAAATAATAGTGTAATATTGTGTAGGATTCGCTACGTCTTATGAGTTTGTAACGTGACAGATTCTTGAATTTAGGCTCAATTTTAGCTTCTTTCCTTTGTGACAATTTTTGAAATTATTCTACATATATTTGTTGGTGAATTTTTGCGATCGAATGATACGTTCTTATATCTCAATTTATTGACGACTGTTGAATTAACAAACATATTTTAAGGTTGTCAATACTGCTGTGATAAGGCGGATATTTTGAAACACGGCAATACTACCGTGCTAAGGGAAAACGCCGTATGAGCCTTCAGGCGTTGCCAACTTTCCTTTAATAAATAACGAATTTTCCGGAAAAATTTGTAAACGTTTTCCCTCCAATTTTTCAGAGAGTTTTGATCGCGATTTCATATTAAATTCCTGAAAATCTCAAGGAAAAATATCCATAGATTTCCTGAAAAATAAAAAAAATTATGGAAGGAAATTTGGCAACTCTCGAATGTTCATACGGCGTTTTTCCGTAGTACGGCAGTATTGAGGTACGTGATTTTGACTGTGACCATCGGTATTATTCTTGAAAGCATAATGTCCAAAAGACAGAGGAGGGAGGAAATACGCATTCCTAAATGTTGATACAATAGCTCTTTTTAAAACTAATAGTCCTGATTTCACCGGGAAAAACTTATCATTCCATATTCGATTATTAAAGTTAAAGATGTGTGCAAAGAAATGTCCATGTTGCTCATTCTCTCTCGTACGAGTAGGTATAACCAAGTACGTAAATTAAGTTCCAATTTTTGAGAATGAGTTGTTAAGTTAAAAACATTTCAATCAGTGTACATTTTTGGCTGTATCATCTTGCAGCTACTTTCCTGAAAATACTCTAGAACACCTTGCTATACGCATAGCACAACAATTCTTACCCTCCATTTCGCTACCTACTACAACATTCTTACGGTTTAAAAAACCATTTATTGAAATTAATTGCATTAACCTTTGTATAATTATGAGTATAATTGACGGGCTTGGAGGACAAGGCGTATAAAAACGGTTTTTGAAAAAATTGAGTTATTAATTATTTCAAGTAAATCTACTCTCAATGCACATTCTTTGAGAAATTCGCTGCCAAATTCTAATTTTTAAACATCAAAAAGTCAATTGGAAACTTCTGTCCGTCACAAGGATCCATGTAACTTCGGATCTTCAAACTCGAATATCTAGAAATAGCAAAAACTGCACGTATGCGCTTTGTCCTCAAAGCCGCTAAATTATAGTGTATAATTATTCCATATTTTTCTTTTTCGGCAGGTCTGCGGTCTCAACATGTCAAGCTCAGAGGAAGATTTAGCTATATTGTACTTGGCAACTCTACAATCCCTAGCAGTAAGTAGTTTATCGTATGGCGATAATCGAAACAAAATAACTTCTATGATATTATGACGTTTTGAAATCTCGGGTGTGTTTTTATTTAGTTATTATTGAAGAGAACTGTTTTTGCCACCGAAAAGCCAATTAGCGTAATGATTTGAAACAAGTGGGCTATGGCCCCTGACGCAGCCCAACCCAACCCCTAGAGAGGGCTTCTCGCTCTCTTAGACCTGCTTCGACAAAAGAACGACCAAAAGAAAAAGAAAAGATTTTCATACCCGACCCAAGTAGCAGTGCGATTGCGATAAATAGCAATTTTATCGGTTGATTATCGCGATTATATCGGTGGCAATTTATCGCAATATTATCGAATAAAAAATTGTTATTTATGGCGATTAAATTGCTATGCATCGCAATTTTTTGTTCAATAAAATCGCGATCAATTTTCGTCGATAAAATCGAGATTAAATCGCCATTTATCGCGATTTTTGTTGCGATAATATCGCGATAAATTGCCGGGCGATGAAATCGAGATTTTATTGCAACAAGATCGAGGATAATCGCTCAGATGTTGATAATCTTAGCTATTTTATCGCCGATAAAATCGCAACAAATCGCGATTTTCCCGTTGAAAAATGCTACCTGGGGACTCTCATTTGTCCAATCTCCCTGTGGCCGGGAGCAATTGGACCAACAAGAGTTGTATGGAAAAAATCGTCATTTATTTCAAACTTCACGCAAAAACTCAACTCAACTTAACTCAACACAAACTCACACTTAAACGAAACGCAACTAACGGAACGGAGCGTTTCGTCGCTTTTGAATAGTCTGTAGCAAAGGAGCGTCCCTTCAATTCACTTACTTACTTTACCCTACTGACAGACCAAGCTTCAACATTTCCCGCTTTGTTCAATGTTGCCCCCCTTTCTAAGCTCCCTGATTTACTCTTATATATAAAAAAAAAAAAACCTGGGTACTATTTCTAAAATCTGATTACAGTGGGCTCATCCAGGGCAATCACCTGTCGATGACCGTAAATATCATGGCAATAGGCCCAGTAGAACGCTCAAATTTACATTGTAAATTTAATGTTAAATGGACCGCGTTAAACAGAAAGGAGCCAAGCCACATCAGCTATTGCCAAATTTAATCGGGCAATTTAATTTTTTACATGAAAACGGTTGTGTGGATTTTTGTGCAAATTTCTATGAATTTTCTCCATAATACAAAGCGAATTCTTTAAAATTTTCAAATGAATCCACACGAACGTTCTCTCGTAAAAAATCAAATTCCCCTGTTAAATTTGACAATAGCTGATGTGGCTTGGTTCCTTTCTGTTTAACGCGGTCCAAATGTTACATAGGCTTATATATTTAATTTTGACGACAGTACGGAACTAGACACATCGTGGAGACGTTGCAAGCGGCCGGACACAAGAACCTGCGCCAGATAATCATTTGCGGTGGGATGCGGAAGAACAACTTATTCGTGCAAACTCACGCCAACGTGTTATCAATGCCCGTGTTGCGTCCAAGAAGAGAGGACTCCGTTCTCCTTGGCTCAGGGATGCTTGGGGCGCGCGCCGCCGGGGTCTACGATAATCTGAGGGACGCAATGGAAAGTATGGCAGGCACCGCCTTCATCACAGAACCCTACATCAAAAGCAAGTAAGACATTTACACTACACTTTGCTACACAATCATGGAGATGTTGCATTTGTGAGGAATTTGCGATTTGACTGTTGATTCGTATGTGAAAGTTCGCGAGAAACACGATGGTGCTACTGGTTTTTTCTGAAATCAACTCCCAAGCTCATAAAAAGCTCTCAAGTTGAGGCCAAAATGGAGGGCCCTCTACCCTGAGAGTCCACCTTTACATCAAAACAAACTCGCCATCATCAAAAGATAGGGAGCAAATACATTAGCAGGGTTGCCGTATTTTCAGTTTTGGAGTCCCCAAATGCAGTGGCAGCCCTCTCAATGTATTTGCTCCCTATCTTTGCATGGAGAGTTTGTTTTGATGTAGAGGTGGACTCTCAGGGTAGGGCGGGATATCCCCTCCATTTTGGCCTCACTTTGAGAGCTTTTTTGAGCTTGGGAGTTAATTTCAGAGAAAACCAGTGGCACCATCGTGTTTCTCACGCACTTTTACATCATAATCTACAGTCAAATCGCAAATTCCTCACACATGCAACATCTCCATTAGCAACTAATATATCTGGCTCAGATTAGAGAACAACGTATGCGCCATTAGTTTCCGAATGCACTCAAGTGTTTTTACGGATGGCTCAGGAATCGAGAATCACCTACGTAGCAGCAGAAATTGAAAGGAAAAACCATGGGCCTGTATACTGCCGTGCTAAGGGAGAACGCCGTATGAACATTTGAGAGTTGCCAAATTTCCTTCGATAAAATTTTTATTTTTGAGGAAAGTTATGAATATTTTTCCGTCAAATTTTCAGAATCTTAATGTGAAATTGCGAACAAAATTACTCGAAAAATTGGGAGGAAAATGTTCATAAGTTTACCAGGAAATTCGCATTTTATCAAAGGAAATTTTGCAACGCCTGAAGGTTCATACGGCGTTTTTTCTTGGCACGGCAGTGTTGACGAAGTATGGATTGAAGCACTTGCACTATGCACATTGTAATGCGCGCCTTCAAGTATTCGCATACGCAACAGGCCAGTGGCGCGGCGTGCTTTGCGATTGATCGATTGATCGGCCATTTAAACCTATGGAAAAGGATCGATAAACAGGGTGTTCGCAGCGAACACCTTCGTAATCGATTCTTTATCATAGGTTTAAATGGCATGACAATCGATATATCGTAATTCACGCTACCTCTGGTCGCCAAGATACTGTTTTACCGATAGCGTACTATAGTGAATATGCGAGCCCTCTAAGGAGGGATTTAAAATGATAACTGTGATAAATATTTCCAGTGATGGGAAAATTGCAGACATTTTCACAGGCCCACCACATCCCATCTCGGGCCCTGGTACCAATTTTCTGGCCCGGGCCCCTAGCACAGGGGAGGGGGGGGGTCTGGGGGGCCTCCCCCGGGAAATTTTTGAAATTCTAAATCTATTTGGACGCATTATGAAGCTCTTATGATGGAGATTTTCCATCAATTTCTGCAGAATAATTACGCCTTTTTGTTTACTTTCAGCACCAAAAACTTTCGAATTGTTGCATTTCAAACATCTATAAATTTTTTTTTAGGGGGCAGATGATAATTTTCAATTCTATGGGGAGCCGGGCCCCCCTGGACTCCCCGTTCGTACGTCTATGGCAAGGGAGTTAAGCCATTGAAGTCGAGGATGCCCAGAAAGGAGCCTCTTAGCATCCGACAACGGAAGAAAATGAAACACAGTTACTAAAAATATCATTCTAGATATACTCAAAATCTTGAAAATCTCTAAAAAAGTAAGGAAAATTTTACAGTGCCCTAGCGTGTTTTTGAAACTTCATTCACCTTAGCGGAATTTTTAGGGTAATTTTTTCACTTTTCCCTACGAGACAAGGGTTACACATGAATTAGTAGTAGTTTGTCACCTGCGTCACGGGCCCCGGTACCAGGGACCCAGTATCCCCCCCCTTGTGGCGGGCCTGCATTTTCAACAAATATATCACCAAGGTCTCTCCGTATGTTCGAGTATGCGAAGATGTGGCAGTAAGTGATTTCAAATGGTTGTAACGAACTTAGTCCATGAGCCGTCCATTTCCTGTCTTAAGCTGCAATTTATATCCTCAATTTTTTTTCTGTGACTAAAACTTGTGCCAATTTCTTGCAGCTACCACGACAGGAAATATAAAGTATTCTTGAAGATGCTTCAACATCAAAAGGAGTATAGACAAATCATGGAAGGAGCGGCGTAAAACTGGTGAACGATAAGCACATGGAAAACGGACTCAGGATTAGGTACATCTTTCATAAAATGATGAGTAATTCGCATTTGTATCTTGTCACCCAATCTCGCTTGTGTGCATTACAAGACACATAATTGTCAAAATTATAATCGATAATTTTTTGCTCTGAGTGAAAGTTTTTCATTCTTCGCCCTCCGAAATATTCTAAACAGCGTGTAAATGACAAACCCGTGTATCAGAATCCAAAAATTGAATCTCATTCATGTTATCTGAACTCCACAAGCAAAAATGGACCGTGTTTAACAGAGAGGAACCAAGCCACATCAGCTATTGCCAACTTTAACTGGGCAATTTAATTTTTGACATGGAAACGTTTGTGCGGATTTTCGTCCAAATTTCAGTGAATTTTATCCACTTTTTTCCATTTTTATCCATTTTTTTGTACGAGGCGAATTCCTTAAAATTGTCAAAAGAATCCGCGCAAACGTTCTTTCGTAAACAATTAAATTGCCCGGTTAAATTTGGCAATGACCGATGTGGTGTGGTTCCTTTCTGTTAAACGCGGTCCAAATGTCATATTGAAATTCGTTTCATTTTGACAAAAATGAGTGGAAAATTAAAGGAGGGCTTAGAGGACAAGGCGCATAGGTGCAGTTTTTACCATTTGGAGAAATACGCGCTTGAAGTTTCGAAATTACATGGATCGTTAGGGTAGAAAAAAAGTTCAAACTGACTTATTGATGCTTAAAAATTGGAATTCGGGAGCGAATTTTTCACAGAATATGCATTAGGACAAATTTTACTTCAAATCTTTAACATGCCATTTTTTAAATAAAAAACTGCACTTATGCGCCTTGTTCCCCAAGCCCCTCAAAGGGGATAGCGATTTGACTTCCGCAGTTTATTACTCCCATTACTTCCTCGCCATTCCAGCGCTAGCGCATTTGAAATTATTTCGAGTCTTTTGACTTTTTAAAAGAGGGCTGGTCCAGGAATTATGCTCCAATAATACTCAATAAGTCACCACGTAATAAACCCACCTGGTACTTTAAGGATATTAAATACAAATAACACAAAGGTTTAGTAACCCAGAGAGTAAGGTGATTCGATGGAGGCCATTTTTTTGTCCGAGCGACGTGCGATGTATCGCATCAATTGGCTCCCATAATTTCAGCTACTTGTCATTTTTTTCGCATTTTGAGATCGCACTCCTGTTGTCATGAGACTTAAGAATTCATGTACCAAATTTGACAAAGAAATTCGACGTAATAAAGGCGCGTGTTCTTTTTTTTAGAGGGAGAATATCGCATTCGAGCGCAGTTTCGATATCAGTATCGAGTGCGATATTTTTCCTCTAAAAAAACCTCGCCTTTATTACGTCGAATTTCTTTGTCAAATTTGGTACATGAGTTCTTAAGTCTCATGACAACAGAAGTGCGATCTCAAAATTTGAAGCAAATGACAAGTAGCAGATATTATGAAGCTATATATATATCGACGGTGAAACTACCAAACCACGTATCTCGGTTTGCAACGTCGCAGACTTCCTGTCATACTTTATTTTTTAAATGAAAAACTACTTAACATCCAGTCTTGAAAATTTCTGTGATTTTTCCTCTTTGTGCGGAGAAAATTCTGTGAAAATTTCAAGGAATGATATTGATTTGCTCTACTTCAAAAAAATAAAATGTGAGCGTAGATTTTTAAACACCGCAAACGAGATACGTGGTTTGGTAGTTTCACCGTCGATATGCGATATATCGCACGTCGCTTTGACATGAAAAATGACCTCCATCGAATCACTTCAAGTAATTTTTCTGCTAAAAAATTTAAACACAAGAGAACTTAAGCAACGTGAAATGAAGTTATGCTCATTCCGGTTAGAACTATTGTAAGATCCGTCCAAAATAATAACGAAATCCATCGAAGTTTTAGACATTCAAAACTATTCAGCCGGCGACGTCGGGTTGATACATTTTCCGACTCCGCAACCCGTCAATTCACAAAATTCTTACGGTCGGCTTGTCGCCTGCCTCCGGTTTCTGCGAGCGCCCGGCTCGGTATGCAATCCGCGATACACCGCTGAACAAAAATAATGAGCCGCGACGTCGGAAGGGGCAACGGAACGAGAGCAATATGACGTCGCATAATTTATTGCGAAGACGGGCGTGCACAACTGGGACCGAGTGGTCTGCGGACCGAGGCGGGAGGAATTGAACCAGATTGAAAGTAAAAAGATAATAAAAAGAGGGAAAAATGATTTGATTAGTGCTGAATGCGATTCAAGACCATATTGGATCAGAACGCCTCGACGCACAATGAGGTTATTCCGTTCGTTATGCGGGTCCGGAAAGAGGAAGCCTTACGTCATATCGACGGTGAAACTACCAAACCACGTATCTCGGTTTGCGACGTCGCAGAGTTCCTGTCATACTTTATTTTTTAAATGAAAAGCTACTTAACGTCTAGTCTTGAAAATTTCCGTCATTTTTCCTCTTCCTGCGGAGAAAATTCTGTGAAAATTTCAAGGAATGATATTGATTTGCTCTACTTCAAAAAAATAAAATGTGAGCGGAGATTTTTAAACACCGCAAACGAGATACGTGGTTTGGTAGTTTCACCGTCGATATTCTGCCGTGCTAAGGAAGAACGCCGGTGCCGTATAGCCCTGCTAAAATTAAGAGTACCTAGGCCATACAGAATTCGCCAACTCACATGAGTAGAACTTCCTACTTACACGAGTAAAAATCCTACTTATATCCTTAGAATATTGTACGCATAAGAGTAGAAAAGTTCAACTCATATGAATTCAATTTTTTTTTTCATTTTTCAGAAGTGCTATCTCTGACTAGAAGACGCCGACTTAGTAAGTAAATTCGAAAAATAAAAACATTTTGTTCTTATGATTTTTTTGATGCGGTGACTAGTTTCTGAGATATCGGGCACGGTGGTTCAACGCTGGATTCATGTGAGTTGAAATCTCTAGTCATATGAGTTGGAATCTCTGGTCATATGAGTCGACGAAAAGTGAATAGAGAAAATTCTGCTCATATGAGTTAAATTCTATTTATACAAGTTGAAGTTCTATTCATATGAGTTGAAATTTTATTCATATGAATTGAAATTCTATTCATATGACATTCATTTTCTACTAATTTGTACTCACCATTTTTAGCAGGGGAACATTCGAGAGTTGCCAAGTTTCCATTGATAATTGGTTTTTTTTTTAGAGAGGTTATGGACACTTTTCCTCGAAATTTTCCGGAAAATAAGGTGAAATTGCGAACAAAATTGAGGAGTTAGGTACGGTAGGGGTAGGTTAGGTTAGGTTAGGTAGGGCGTCATTGACAAAATCGCGTTTTGAGTTATTCGTGTCCAAAGTTTGATGTTGTACAAATGGAATGTATTTTTAAAGATATGGAAATAATGTGGTAAGTTCAAATATAGATCATTTTATCAAGTTTAAGTTTGTACAATTAGAAGCTCTGAATGATCGCGGGTTTTTTTTAAAATATGAGAAATACGAAAGTTCCAATGACGCCCCTTTTTAATTACTGTATCTCACTTTAAAATTACTTTAAAATTACCGTATCTCAGTGAATGTTTGACATATTAATATGAAAATTGGTACACCTACACCGAAAAAAATAATATGCTGTTTTAGCACCTAGGATGTTAAAAATGTGTCTGGTGATCTCAAGATGCTGCCTTAACTGCCTACAGAGTTAAATTTGCATTCACAGGATGTAAAGTTAACTGCGAGGGCAGTAAGGACAACAACTTCGGATCACCAGACACATTTTTAACATCCTAAGTGCTAAAACAACATATTATTTTTTTCGGTGTACATTTTAGGATATGAGGAGTCAGAAAAACCGGTCTCTGCAAAAGGGGCGTTATGGACCTAACGCCCCTTTTGCACCTAACTCCTCAATTATCGGAAAAATTGGAAGAATGATATTCATGAGTTTACCAGGAAATTCGTGTTTTATCAAATGAAACTCGGCAACCGCTGAAGGTTTACGGCGTTTCTCCTTGGACGGCAGTATTATCGTCGTCTCTCTGACGTAAGGGCGTATCTCGATTCTGACATGAGCCCTGGAAAACATGGAGTTATATGGACAACAGGGTTCACGTGAAAATCGAGATACGCCCTTACGTCAGAGGAGCGACGTTATGTACGTATTTATGCTGAGAAAAGCAAGTGCGTGGGGTTGCATCATGCAACATACTGCCGTGCTAAGGAAGAACGCCGTATGAACATTTGAGAGTCGCCAAATTTCCTTCGATAAAATGTTTATTTTTGAGGAAAGTTATGAATATTTTTCCGTCAAATTTTAAGAATCATAAGGTGAAATTGCGAACAAAATTACTCGAAAAATTGGGAGGAAAATGTTCATAAGTTTACCAGGAAATTCGCATTTTATCAAAGGAAATTTTGCAACGCCTGAAGGTTCATACGGCGTTTTTCCTTAGCACGGCAGCATAGTTCCTTTTAGCAAAAATATGTCCATATCAACTATGACCTTACCCCAACCCGTCGAAAATGTTTGTGTGCATGGTTGCTTTCGGTTATTTTGAGTTACACTTTTTCGGTCCGATCAACTAAAATGACTTGGTATGATTTTCTTGATTCCTGACACCGTTAAACGCACATGCAGGAATGAAGAAATTTCATTTTCTAGTCACGCTAACGATACTTTCTTTACCCGCAAGGGGAGCGAGAGAATTCAAAAACATTTCCGTCTTTATGGTTAGTTTTCGTTACTTTGAGTGACTTTTTCCCCGATTAGATCGATCCAAGGAACTTGATTGATCGACCAAATTTTTGGTCCAGTTGACCGAAACCGTATAGGTTATTCTGCACATTTAGGGATAGAAAAAGTGTCCCGCTGAACTGATGCACTCTAGAGTCCCTTTATACTGAGAGTCAAGACAATTTGAATCCATTTCTGATTGGTTCCCGTATTTTAGGCCTTCACAGTGTCACAAACGGGAATAAAGATTACAGTTTCAGCGATTGCAAAGATTATAATCTGGAATGGACCGGGGAATTACGGGTTCGGCAAGGAACAAACGGAATGAGGGAAGGAACGAAGAAAGGAATTCGAGAATGGGCCGATCAAAGATTACGAAAAACGTTCAATTTCTGTAATCTTTATTCCCGTT